TTAAAGAGACTGTGGCATAAGACACGGAGGTGCTTTTGAGGAGGGAGGGATTACTGGTGACCCGGAGGTCTTTTCAATTCGATCGGGACAAGGGGGTGACCATGGGCTCAGCCAGGAGGAGTGGGATTTGCTGACATCTGCCTGGGTGTCTTCGTACAGCTCAAAGGCAGCGATTTCGCGAATCCATCTCTTACAGGATCGGAATCACGTGAGATGATCCGGCGAGAAACCCAGCAGGCTGATATATGGCTCAGATTTTACGTCCAACTCTTTGGGGAGTTCGACGACATGTGCGATAAACGTTTGATGGTTACAGCTTGTTTTTTTTTAAGGGATTTTATAACCTGGTATTCAATACCTTTAAGTCATGTCTTATTTTAATTTATATTTTTATTTTTATGAAAAATGATAATAGGGGGTGAAATGAAATGAAGATGATCAATTGGAGACATTAATCAACTGGGATGAAATAAAATGAAAAGATATGGGATAAAATTCAGTAAAATGGTGATCATTTACTGAGATTTTTTCAGTGTACTTTTTGGAGGATCCCGAGAACTTATGTCCAGCGGCTTTGTTTCATTTTACCACATTTGTGCACTTTCACAGATATTAAACAGTTAATAAACCACCGTTATTACACATTTAAACCTGAAGAAACACTAAATATACAAAATAAAACAAATCACACAACTCCATTCCTCGCGTTCCCGCCAAAAAGTCGTTACAGCTTGTAGGTAAGAAAGGATCCAGCGGGATGATGCTTTTCGAAGAGTGTGACAAGTGGAGAGACCTATAGTTGTTACGTTGGGAGCTTTAGAGCTAGTACCGTTTAACAGCAATGAGTGTCGGTTAGGTGGATAGTCACTGCTTGATAGATCCAGTTGACGGTGGCTGGTCGTTGCGTGATGGAGATGGGTATAGTCAGCGGCGACTAAAATAAGGGAATTTCGGTTCGCTATCCCGCTTTAAGAATCCGATTGCATATACTTAAGGATGTAGGCTTGACCGGGTCTCACAAGTACTGCATTATGGTGTTTTTTGCATGATAATGTTAAACAAATTAACCCCACTCCCACCGTCTTCGACGTATACGGCGTATGTCTGTATAGACACCGTATAAAATGATAGATTTACGACGGCGACGGTCCAAATGTAGTTTTTTTTTTGTTTCTTCTACCTATTCTAGCGACCTCGAGGGGTCACACTAGATTCACCGAACGAGTAGGTGAGCTCACGGGGATCTAAGCTGGAGACGTTGCTAACACTATTCTTAGCAAGAGCAGTGTTTCGCAGAATATACCACCGCATCTGAAACGTGACTCACTGGAAGATCCGGCGAGAAACTCAGTGGGCTGTGTCTGAGGGTTAGAAATGTTGTTGTCGAAAATGTCATTAGCGAGATTGAGGAATCGCTAAAATGTCTTGTGTTCTTTGCTGGCTATCTGCTACAGCGTCAATAACGTCAGCCACCTTGAGACATGAAGTCGGAGTTTCATTATGCTACGGCTGTCTAACCCTTCAAACGAACCCCATGACTGCTTCGCGCCAGAAACGTGCTGGATGGTGGTAGCTCCCCGTTGGGGTTAATAGTAGGTATATTGTATTTAAACATAAAATGCGTATTTATAATAAACTGAAAAAGATTTCTTAATCATAAATAAATATGTTCAGCCAGCAAAGAAATATTGCAAGCAATTTAAAAACTCGCAAAAAATATTATTCTTTTGAATGCCATCTTTAAATAAATCAATGTTTATAGTCTGCTGATAAATTTTGTTCGCCAAAATAATTAAGAAAAAAAAAACTTCATGTTCTAAAGTCATAAACAAACGAAATGTTCATATATTTTTGGGCGAAAAGAACTCGTTCTGCAACTCCATAAATTTGCATTATAATGTCTCTGTGAAATGACATTTGGTTTTATGTTGTTTCACGAATTGCAGATACAAAGGTGGCATAGGACGTTAGGCGGAGCGATTAGTGAATAAATCGCTGATATTTATTGTAAACTATCTTGCAGGACAAAATGAATGAATCGCGTCAAAATTCGCACAGGTAGCGTCTACGAATATATAATAAGTCTTATTATTTAGACTTATTAATAAATAATCATAATAACTTATTAATAAATAATAAGTCTTATTATTTAGACTTATTATTTATTCGTAGGGTAGCGTCTATTTTTGCAGCGAAGACGCCTTAGTTCAACGTTATTACAACGCATTTATAGCTTCGTCGCGTTTCCATTCACCATTTATTTACTACAAATCATTTATTTCCTATCTTAAAAATTTGGATAACATCGTTTGGAACCTCTGGGTCTGCGCAGGGACTTCGGTTCCCTCTGTATTTTGTACCGTATGTTCCATGTGGAGTGCTCTGAGGAATTGTTCGAGATGATACCGGCATCTAGTTTTTACCATCGCACCGCCCGTCACCGGAGTAGAGTTCATCCATACTCCCTGGAGCCACTGCGGTCATCCACAATGCGTTTCCAGAGGTTTTTTTTGCCACGTACCATCCGGCTATGGAATGAGCTCCTCTCCACGATGTTTCCCGAGCGCTATGATATGTCCTTCTTCAAACGAGGCTTGTGGAGAGTATTACGCGGTAGGAAGCGGCTTGGCTCTGCCCCTGGCATTGCTTAAGTCCATGGGCGACAGTAACCACTCACTATCAGGTGGGCCGTATGCTCGTCTGCCTACAAGGGCAATTAAAAAAAAAGGCGATGGCGACTTAATAAACCGCTCCTCTTGATAATGTAGACATTACTTATATTAAAAAGAAGTTCCTGGAGTGACCCCACGCGATTCCACTCACTATATTTGGTTGTAAGGTTTCTCTCACACGAATATCTTTAAAAATACAATTAAACACTACACTAAAGCTTGAAATGCTGAATCTGTTTTTTAATGCGTTAATTGGTAGACGAGTATACAGTCCACATCGACACTGGATACTTAGCGTAAATTCATCCGAGCCATTTGGTCCTATTGTCATTGTTATTGACAACGTTCACACAAGATCTACAGTTCCCTCGAACAAGTAAAAATGAAACGCCAAAGACTGACTTTGTTAACACAAAATCAACAAAACGAGGCGTGAATACAAATTGTCTCAATGTAAAATACTAACCGCTTTTCGTCATGTCCTTGTCCGCCCACCGATCGTTAAGCGATTTCCACCTTTACCACCTTGGCTTAAAGCTTAACGAATACTTCGTGGTTACCAGTGAAAGGTGGAACCTTTGCAATGTCGGTATCCTTGTAGAGTAAACTTATTTAAACTAGTTGCTTAGATACTTCGATCCTACGCTTGAAATATCTCACCTCATGTATTAGGTCACGGAGGATTCCATCATCAGTCGTTATTTGAAGATCCTCTTTGCTCGTTGGCATTGGATTTCGATGTGTCATTTTTGTTCTGTTCTGACGGAAGAATTTTAGCCATAGTGACTAGAAATATGCCTGTATGGTCTATTGAGTTGTCGGCCGCTTACTCGGTTACTGACATCGAGAGGTCTGAGATATTTGAACCTTAGTATACTCGTATCGTTGTATACTCGGCGCCTTAATCTGTCATTTCGACAAAGCCGCACGACACGAGAATCCCCTCATCGTGGCCGCTGGTAACTACATTTCCGATCCAGCGGACAGAATGGAAAACAGTCGACGTCGCGCAAAACACGTCATTTTGGATCCTCCCGATGTACTAACGGTGCGTTTAGGTACTTCAAGCACCGGTCATCGTTCTCGTCGAACCTGTCGCTTGTGACGAAGGGCTCGACGAGTAAATTAACTCATAGACACAGCCCACTGAGTTTCTCGCCGGATCTTCTCAGTGGGTTGCGTTTCCGATCCGGTGGTAGATTCTGCGAAGTACGGCTCATGCTAGGGTTCGTACTAGCAACGTCGTCAGGTTTGAGCCCCGTGAGCTCACTTACTAGTTAAGGTTACGCTGAAATAGCCTCTGAAGGCTATCAGCATAGGTAGGAAAAAAGTCTTAATCTTCAGGTCATAACGACTTTGTTTTAGCGTTAAATTGTTTTTGATTTTTGTTTCCAAACGTAAAAAAAACGTATTTATCTATTTATTTTGTCCAACGTAAAAGTCGGCTTCTGTGGCATAAAACTCCACTATTTTCTGCTAAACTTTTCGATCCCTTTTGCGTTTAATCTCATCCTAGTCTTCACACAAATTATCTATAGTATGAGTCAATAAATCTTGCACGCGTGTGCGATGTAACTCAATACGTCATATCTACTTTCTACAGTCTAAAGTTGATATATGATCAAAGTCTTAGAAACAACCGCTACATATTCTGAAAGCATTAGGATACTTAATATCTAGAGGTCTACTCTTCGTAACGTCTTAAAATCAAATGACCATTACAAATGAAAATCTCGTAAGTGTGAAAATGAAAACATACGCGCGAACATTGAGTGATCAATCACTCAATGTTTTCCTAAGACGCAATTGCGAATAATAATTTTAGAGATTTCCCTATTGTACCATTCTTTGCTCGTAGACAACCAGAAAACAAATATTACGCGAGTCCTTTATTTTTGTAAGTAGTAAGACAACGAAAGAAGAGATAAAATATGGATAGAGTTGAAAAAGATTTTTTTGGAAAATTTCAATTTTTTTTTTGTTTTTGCTTGAGCTCACGGTCCGCCAGGTGTCAAATGAATACCGGAGCTCATGGATATCATATTGTACAATATCTATCCTATGTATGCCTGCTTCGCGGCGGAAATAGACAGGATGGTGGTACCTATGGTGGTGGTGGTAAGCAATAAATAAAAAAAAACCTATCCGCGCGGGCTTACCATACGCTCTACCCTCAGAAATGATGTTTATAGGTTTAGTTTGCGCTTCGTTATATAATAATTTTTAATACAGCTCGCGTCGTTTTCTAATTAAATGTAATCTATGAAATTAAAGATAGATTTCTGAATATTACAGTGGCCGATAGTAAACTGATTCGTTTCTTTTCAGATCAAAGATGGCGTTCGTATTGTATATTTTGGCGGGCCTCCTGGTATCTGCGCACGCGCAATCGAACTACGGCTCCCAGGCCAACAACATCGAGTACCAAGGGGAAGGGCTGCCCGAACAAACTGTACTAGATGGAAAGGTCAGTGAAATATTATCATGAATTCATAATACTGTTAGAAAAGAAAAGATACAGTAAACGTAAATCGGTCATCTATTTGAAAAAGTCATCATGCTCCTCGTCCCCTAACCGTTCGCTCATTATGTAGATCTCTGCTTAGTGAGAACTATTAAACGTTCTCGATAGCGTAAAAGTTAAGTTAAATTTGTATGCGGTTGGAACCGCGCCCCTAGCGGCAAACGTGGGCAACCGTTCCAACACAATACTTTCACGCTATTGAGAATAAAAACATTGAATGTGAATTATTCATTGAGCTCTATTCCAAATATTATTTTTATATTATATACTAGCTGACCCGGCAGACTTCGTAGTGCCTCAGTCGATAAATAAAATACCTAAACTATTGTATAAAGTAAACTTAAAACAAACAAAAGAAATCCGTTCGACGGGAAAAACAAAATTTTTATTTTTATTTAATTCCGAACATTTTCATATTTATCTAACCTTTTAAACCTTCTCTGGACTTCCACAAATAATTCAAGACCAAAATTAGCCAAATCGGTTCAGCCGTTCTCGAGTTTTAGTTCTCGAGTTCTCGAGTTCATTTTTATATATAGAGTTTTATATGAAAATAAGCCGATTTCTAGTATTTTTCATCAATTTTCTCAAAATCGTAGACATATTTAAAATTATTTTCGTGATCATGTTACATGTAAAGTGTCCGAAGCATCGGAAATAATAAAATGACATTTAAAAAACGTTAGATGAAAACCGTAAAAGTAATTTTAAATATAATCGGACTTATATATCTGTTTACTGATTTGAATTTTTTCAAAAGAGTTTTTTCAAATCAAATCCCAAAGTTCACACAACCCATTAATCCTACATTCGACCAACGACCTTTCGTTTTTAATAGCGCGCCTTAAGAAGAGTTTTATTTTATTATGCTAATTCACGAAACAGGATTCGCCGAGATGGAGAATGACATCACCTTGTCACAAACGTTAAGAGCTACATAATATTATCGAATGCGAAATGAACAAGAATAGGCGACATAATATACACGAAGATATTTGTACGATCGGTAATCTATCTTATATACCTATATATAAAAATGAATTGCTTGCTGTTCGTTAGTCTCGCTAAAACTCGAGAAAGCCTGGACCGATTTGGCTGATCTTGGTCTTGAATTATTTGTGGAAGTCCAGAGAAAGTTTAAAAGGTAGATAAATATGAAAATGCTCGGAATTAAATAAAAATAACAATTTTGTTTTCCCTTTGATGTCCCCCCTCCCCGTCGGACGGATTCCTTGGTTTGTTTTAAGTTTATTTTATACAAAAGTTTAGGTCTTTTATTTATCGATTAAGGCACTACGAAGTCTGCCGAGTCAGCTAGTAATAATAAAAAACAACTATAAATTCAGCGTTGTAAAGTTTTGTTACTCGACTTTCGCAAAAGAGGTTTATGGTTTTGAAGGCTTTGTATATGATAGAAGCGACGAAGTTCGCGGACTTGGTGCTAATAGGTGATCGCAGAATATAGCCATCAGGAAGTCAATGTCGTTCTTCACCCTGAGGCTTGGGACATGAGGTAAAATTTTTTGTTTGAGCGGTTATTTTCCAAGAAAAAGAAATCGCATAATTTTTTCGCGAAAGAAGTATATAGAATTACCCTCAATCCACAACATGTACCATTAAATCGACAGAAGATTAAAATTGCAGATAAATAATAACATATTAGCTATACTACAAAAAATTTGACTTCATATTTCAAGATGTGTGGTGGCATTTTAAAATCCTGTCACGACCCTCAGGAGTCAGGAAACGACGCGAGGAGGATAGGTGGCATTTTTATATAAAGGCTCCCGTAACCACTTAATATTAGATGGACCGTGAATTCGATCACCTATATAACAAAATAAAAGTATGCACATTAGAATAAATGGAAAAGAAAAGCATATTTTGTTTCTTCGCACACAAAACGCTTCGCATAAAATCGAATACCAGTTTAAATCGGTAACAATATGAAAATAAATAAATCGAACAATGTGCGGACTTCAATATATAAATTATGCAAAGAATCTCTTGTGTACTCCAAGATGGCTGTGGCATCACTGACCGCGGGCCACGATGCAAACAAATAGATACTACATGCTTGTTGCCATTGTCTGATCCGACACGGCGATATCGTTCTGCTATATTTTCTGCTTATGGGGTTAATACTGTACATAGTATGTTAGATTCATGTTTGAATGTGCCCAGAAATGCGAACAAAACACGGTACAGGATCGAAGTGTTCCAGTTGATGTTCTCTATGCTAGTGCCATAGTTCTTAGTAGAACTTAATCTCATTCACCTTAATGTATTAATATTACGATAGGCGCTAATTGACAATGTCAACAGCATTGTTACAACGTTTGTCCTGACATTAAAAAGAATAGTTATATCGGGTATTATTGGTATTTTGGTGGGTATTGTTATGGTAACTTGAATCATGTCAAACCAGTCAGTATTCCAGATGAACTGCAACTAGAGCCTTAAGAATCAGCCAGTAACATGACTAAGTACGTAAATATATTGCCTGTAATGAAATATGATAAAAAAAAGACTACGTGGCCAAAAGGATAAGTCGCCCGGCGTACTTAATCGTATCGAGCGATGCGGCTGTACCCGTGTGCCAATGTGTATCCCGTATAAAGAGGTAAAAAAAAATCTAATGACGCACGTACTTAACACTTGTTCCTAGAATGACTTTCAATATGAAGGAATAACATCGTGTAATAAAAATCATACACGAAAACATGTAATTTGCGTAATTATGACACACCTCAAGCTTAAGCCGTGAGGCTATAGGTATGCACTCGCCTACGCAATAAAAATAATAAGAACTTGTAACAGTTACTCGGTAGGTCGTAAACCTGTATCTTCTGTAGCCCCATCTCGAATAGTCTGTCCGGCCATTACCACTGAAATGAATACCAATGAAAATACCCTTTCATGTTAATGGAAACGCGCCAAAATAGAGATACCCTCGAGGTAGTAATTAGCAATAAAGATTTATATAGATATTCGGTATCTGTAATCCGACCGAACTAAATACAAATTGCTATTTACGACCACAGCGATGTACGTGTAGCCTTTTTGTCGGCGCTGTTTTCATCTAGAGTTCGCACCTACGTGATTATCTTGTTTATTATGCTTTTAAGACGGGACAAAACATGATGGCGCGAATACGAAGCGCTTAGAGCAGAATTCCGAGCTAGAGAACTTTTCTCGAGAACTTGGGAATGATATTCTGAAGTTTAGGAGCTCTTTACGGGGCATAGTCATTTCTGTGACTAGCAGATCCAGAGCACTGTGCTATTCACGCAGTAGTTTATTTATCTTCTATCTATATACAGTCAAACCTGGATAAGCGAGAGTTCAAGGGAGCACAATCTCATTCTCGCTTATAGAGGTTTCTCACTAACCCGAGTTTCTCGCTAATGCTCCCTCTAAATTTCATTTCGCGATTTTCCGGATTCAAACGCATTCACTATTTTATGTTTATCACTTAATGACAGTACTTTATTTTTCCGTTTTGAGATGATGCAGAAAGAACTTTCCTTCGCAAATGATTAACGATAAACTGAGTAAGTCTGACAAACAGGACGGTACACAGTCACACGTGTCCATTCGAAAAGAATGCGATAAAATAACAACGTTATTTAGTTCCGCGTAATAGAATAAGTTCAATATTGACGAGAAAATAATACAAAAACAATGGAAGGAAGTTCCACAAAAGTTAAGAATGATTCATAAAATAGCAGATGTTAAATTTGTAATTTGTTTTGTCATTTGTTCCTCCTAAATAATATAAATAAATAAAGCTCGACTGTCGCTTAAAGAGGTATAGATAAGTAGCAGTCTCACTTACGGAGGTCCATGAGGGAAAAACGACTCTCTCTTACAGAGGTTTCTATTTCTCGCTAATAGAGGTTTTGGGAGCTTAAAATGACGTGTCCTGACTATTACTCTCACTTATAGAGTTTTCTCACTTATCCAGTTCTCACTTACCCAGGTTTGACTGTATATAAAAATGAATTGCTGTTCGTTAGTCTCGCTATAACTCGAGAACGGCTGGACCGATTTGGCTAATGTTGGTCTTCAATTATTTGTGGAAGTCCAGAGAAGGTTTAAAAGGTAGATAAATATGAAAATGCTCGGAATTAAATAAAAATAACTTGATAAAAATAATTTTGTTTTTCCTTTGATGTGTTCCCCGTCAGACGGATTCCTTTTGTTTGTTTTAAGTTTATTTTATACAAAAGCTTAGGTCTTTTATTTATCGATTGAGGCACTACGAAGTCTGCCGGGTCAGCTAGTCATTGAATAAAATATTTTGTTTATGAACGTGCTTTTGTTCCAGGTCACGAAGCTGGACGACTTGAGTCCAGTTATCTTCTTGAACAGAACCAAAGCGGCACTGAACTGCGCTGCGGGTTCCATGCAGGTAACTTCACGTATCTGTGACATTAGAGTTTCTCTTTGTTACCTTAAATAGGCAGATAGACAGAGCATTGCTTTACGATATTGCATAAAACTCCGGAAGGGTCTGTTATACAAATATGATTTCGATTTTATGTGTTTGAGGTTTTTAACTAGTGGTAGGCCCTGTTGTGAGTCCGCGCGGGTAGGTACCACCGCCCTGCCTATTTCTGCCGTGAAGCACTAATGCGTTTCGGTTGGAAGGGTGGGGCAGCCGTTGTAACTATACTGAGATCTTAGAACTTATATTTCAAGATAGGTGGCGCATTTACGTTGTAGATGTCTATGGGCTCCAGTAACCACTTAACACCAGGTGGGCTGTGAGCTCGTACACCCATGTAAGCAATAAAAAAAAAGAAAAAAAAAGGTTTCACTCAACTGGTGCATCAAATAGAGAACGATTGATTCGCTTCTTGTAAATTCGCTTTTGTTTCAGATCGAATTGAAATTTAACGAAAAATTCTACGGTATCGCATACGCTGACTTCGACAGGCACTCAGCATGTCAAGTGGTAGGGAAGGGTGCTCTTTCCTACAAACTCGAACTGCCCCTCAAAGGATGCGGAACGAAGCAGGTTCGGATATAATGTCACTTTAATTCAGTGTAACAAATGACAAAGATTTTCCTTAACGAAATACCATTAGGTATAGGTCCACTGGTGGTAGGACCTGTTGTGAGTCCGCACGGGTAGGTACCACCGCCCTGCCTGTTTCTGCCGTGATGCAGTAACGCGTTTTGGTATGAAGGGTGGGGCAGCTGTTGTGACTATGCTGAGACCTTAGAACTTATATCTCAAGGTGAGTGGCGTATTTACGTTGTAGATGTCTATGGGCTCCGGTAACCACTTAACACCAGGTGGGTTGTGGCGCTCGTCCACCCATCTAAGCAATAAAATAAAATAAAAAAAAGGTATCTAAAAGTCAAAATATCCAGTTTCCAGTGTCTTTGTAACAACATTTATATTTATTTCCAGAACCCTCTGCGAGTATTCACGAACAATATAGTTGTAAGATTCCATCCTGGCTTAGAGATGGACGGAGACGAGGTCATCACAATCGTTTGTCGGTACCCACCGCCCATCGTTCCCAAGCCAGTCTTCAACCCGCTTATTGCCACGTGAGTAAACAATTTGAATCTATCTAATCTAATTATCATTCCTATTGTCGTCTAGTCTTACTGTATACTCGGTGTAAAGTGCCAATGACCCGCAGAAACCATAATAAAATAAAATAAACTTATATGGTCAACTTGGGGAAGCAAGATCGTCATTTAAATCATTATGGCACGAAGATGGGAATGCTTTTCTTAATTGTTTTCAAATTATGGCTTTGTGGTTTCCAGAGCCCATAGCTATGACCGCGAATACCGTAACACGCTTTAAGATATCGGGCAGTCTCCAATGCATTTGACCTGCCCATGTGGATTTTTTGTTATGTACCTACATCCACATTTCTGAGGACGAGTTTTTTATTTTTTTATTGCTTAGATGGATGGACGAGCTCATAGCCCGCCTGGTGTTAAGTGGTTACTGGAGCCCATAGACATCTACAACGTAAATGCGCCACCCACCTTGAGATATAAGTTCTAAGGTCTCAAGTTTAGTTACAACGGCTGCCCCACCCTTCAAACCGAAACGCATTACTGGTTCACGGTAGAAATAGACGGGGTGGTAGTACCTACCCGTGCGGACTCACAAGAGGTCCTACCACCAGTAAAAATTTGGTGCGTCCTAAGTAAGACCTTAGTAAGACCAACCATGCTTGTTTTTAACAGTCCTGAACGCGGGCCGCTACCAGCGAAAGCTCCTTTAGCGGGAACTCATATCCTGATGATAATCTGCGCAATATTGTTTTTGACACTTCTGCTGCTTGGACTCGGAGTTTCATACTTGTGTCTGAGAAGACGCGCCCTGCCCGCTCCGAGGAGACTGATTGACGACTCCTCAGCGTCGATTGTGAGCAGAGAAAGTATACAAGGTAAGTTGCGCTATATAATAGGTTGGGGAAAAAGTTTCTTCGCATTTTTAATCACAACCTTTAATATAGTTTATTTACATTTAACTAAAGTATGTAGGTACCATTTTGTTCGATAACTTTTTGCCATCTTGTAGGTAGGGACATGATCCCATTGCTATAGAAAACTCCGTAGACATCGCAAAAATGTATCGAATTTCTTCATTAATTCACTCATCTTGACAGTAAGAATAATAAATAAAAATCACAAATTTTACTAATTTGAATTTATCTTCTTTAAAATTTAAACTTTTAATGATACCAAAACCAGCGAGATACAAATAGTATAGCCAAAGTTCATACATGCTATATTGCGAAAAGACTTTTTCCCCAACCTATTACATGTTTAAATGTCTTTATATTCTAGAAGTGAAGATTCCTCGTGCACATCCTGTATACCCAATAGGCGGAGAGGCTGCGAGCGTGGCTTCGGATACCATTCCATCGGATTATCCATCAGAGACTCCCAGCGAGACCGACGCGGCTCATGCCAACCATGCTTTCATTATGGACGAAAACTATCACAGTGAAGGTATTGTCAGGAGCACTACAGTTGGTAGTACTAGTATGAGAGCTTCCATAGAACCTCACACCCAATAGGCGGAGAGGCTGCGAGCGTGGCTTCGGATACCATTCCATCGGATTATCTATCAGAGACTCTCAGCGAGACCGACGCGGCTCATCCCAAGCTTAAGCCATCATATGTCGCGAAGCAATCGTTAGTCAAGATTCGATGATTAAAACCGTATCCAAATAAAATCGTGTATTGGATTGATGTGAAAAATACGCAAGGTTTTGTTAGACATGTTTCTGTGGTACATGCATGCTAGAAGCTTGAGCATAGACGGACAGAAGAAGTACCTTTGAAAGCTCTGTTGTGGTCCATTACCTACAGTTATGCACAGCTTGCAAGAATTTTACAGAACGGGATTTGTTAATTTAAAAAAATGCGTCATTTAGTGTGCGTTTCAAGGATTAATTATGTCAGAGGTGTTATTACGTACCCCTACTAATCCGTATTAAATTGCCACTATATAGTGAAGTGTACCTAGAATATACCACAATACTACTAATTTTCTATTAGCATTTCCATCTCATGACTCAAGAGATCCGGGTAAGTTCTCGTGTTTGTCGCCAAAAAAAAAATATTTTATTGGAAGATCTGCAAAATCGAATCTACCACTTCAACAAGTCTATTTGCTCCATTGTTTAAGCAATTGCCTACTTTAATCAATACACTTAATTATAATGTTAATGATCTCAGGATATGGTGAAGCCCACGAGACTAGCGCTTCGAACGTGTTAGTGCACGCGGCGCCGCCCGCGTTCGACGTGCGCGTGCGCGTGCAGCGCCCCCCCGCGCCCCCCTCCCCGCAATCCACCATCACTACCACCGAGGTCGACGGTGGAAGCATGCGGTGAGTTGCAGCTCTAGTTTTTATCGTTATTGCCCTTTTTTTTTAACTATTCGTCCAAGCGTCCCCCTTCGAGGTTAGAACCCGGATGAGGTAGGGGGGCTACCGCGGTCAACACTACAACCAGACGGCGCGGCTCACCCCAAGGACGCCCAGCAGACGGAGCCTTCGAGGCGAATCGAAGGCTCTGAAACGTCGGCCGTCTCGGTACGGCAGCCCGTCAGGCCGCCCTTATCGTTATTGCCCTAGGTCGGTTATTTTTTTCCCTACCTAAGCTGATGGTCTTGAGAGACCAGTGTAACCCGGTGAGTAGGTGAGTTCATGGGGCTCAAACCTAACGACGTTGCTAACACGAACCCTAACAAGAGCCGTGCTTCCTAGAGTATACCACCGGATCGGAAACGCGACCCACTGAGAAAATCCGGCGAGAAACTCAGTGGGCTAAAAGTCGGTAGAGGAGTGTTTGGTGTTCACGGTCTCACCCAACTTGAGATATGAAATCTTTATTATATAGTACAACGGCTCTGCTATTGTTCGAACTGAAACACATGACAGTTCAGGGCAGAGAAACCAGTCAACAAATCGCTATAACTAATAATCAAAATATTAGGACTATTTCAATGTACTCATAATAATCCGACGATGTTTTAAGGTTTGCTATTGTTATTAATAATATCCGTAAGATTATTGTTATTTTGGTTGACTTAAGGAGCGTATCTTAACAGACACAGCAGTTACCTGGAGGAGCAAGCGCGGCAGGAGTCGGTCCGCACGGTGTCCCCGGTGGCGCTGCCGCTGCCCGCCCGCGCCGCGCAGCTGCCCCCGCCCGAGCGCCCCCCGCGCCCCCCCGCGCTCTACTCGCAGGTCAACAGAGAACGACAGGTACTTACGTATATTGGATAGCAAACTCTTTATTTAAACACTATCTAATAGAAAATTAAGTCTAAAATAGCACGATCTTTTCCTGTCGTAACGAAGTCACCGGTGAAAGGGCGGCATGGTACATTGAGTATTGTGCCAGCGTACTGGGATTTATTAGTGGTAGGGCATATATTTTTTATGGCATAGGTGGGCGGACGAGCTCACAGTCCACCTGGTGCTAAATGGTTACCGGAGCCCATAGACATCTACAACGTAAATGCGCCACAACCATGAGATATGGGTTCTAAGGTCTCAGTATAGTTACCTCGGCTGCCCCGCCCTTCAAATCGAAACGCATTACTGCTTCACGGCAGAAATAGGCAGGGCGGTGGTACCTGCCCGTGCTGACTCACAACACGTCCTACCACCAGTATTGAGATCAGCCACGAGTAGATACTACTATCACAACTATTTTTGCCGCGAAACTGACGTGGGAGAACGGGACATCCTCTTACAACAACTCGTCGTCGTGGCCTAAAAGATAAGACGTCCGGTGCACTCGTGTTGAAGCGATGCACCGGTGTTCGAATCTCACAGGCGGGTACCAATTTTTCTATTGAAATACGTACTCAACAAATGTTCACGATTGACTTCCACGGTGAAGGAATAACATCGTGTAATAAAAGTGAAACCCGCAAAATTATAATTTGCGTAATTACTGGTGGTAGGACCTGTTGTGAGTCCGCGCGGGTAGGTACCACCGCCCTGCCTATTTCTGCCGTGAAGCAGTAATGCGTTTCGGTTCGAAGGGTGGGGCAGCCGTTGTAACTATACTGAGACCTTACAACTTATATCTCAAGGTGGGTGGCGCATTTACGTTGTAGATGTCTATGGGCTCCAGTAACCACTTAACACCAGGTGGGCTGTGAGCTCGTCCAACCATCTAAGCAATAAAAAAATAATAAAAAAAAACACACCTGATTTTACAACCTCATGTCTCAAATAAAATGGGTTGTGGTAATCACGTAATATCCACCGTTTCCGGCCACCACTTAATGCCAACACTGGTTTTACGAGAGCTCGCTTGATTTGCGTCAGAAAAAGGCAAGTGATTTCAGTCTTAATACGATCACTTAACTGTTTATGTGTGTCACTATGTACATGAGCATGTTCAACAAAAGCATGTATAGTTCACCGATTGATCGTGCATAACATATTCATTTGAACACTTAAAAAATACACACTAATTTCTCATGTGCCAAAATTATTCAGAAATAGTCGTCCCCAAGGAAAATGTAAAGTATTTGAAATGTCTAAAACTACTATAATTAAAAAAATAAGTGCCTTTAAATTTAAAAGAACTTTTTATTAATCGATGCGTTTTGATATCGGTAACTTTCTTAATCTGATATATTATGTAGTTTACGTTTTAATGTAAAATAACCACTATATTTTCCCGCACTTGGATGAATCCTAAACGGCCATTCTATATAGTGTCTAAACTACATATTTTGCATGTGAATTTACGCAAAATATAAAAGTTGAATAATCTGAGATCTTTGTTACTTTGAAATAAAGATAGTATGTAAAGAATTTAGTTTTGAAATTAAAAAAAAAAGTCAAACAAATAAAACATTATCTTCGTTCTTGCGATCTAGAAAATTGTTACATACATTTAATCATAAAAGTGCAATTTGGCGATGAAAATTTTAATGAAAATAATATGGGGTTTGGCTGATACTGTTTTCTATTATAAATGAAATCACCTTCATAAAAATACCCTCATTAAAATTAAATAAACACCCGATGATCTATACTCTATACTAATATTATAAAGAGGAAAGATTTGTTTGTTTGTTTGTTTGTTTGTTTCGAATAGGCTCCGAAACTACTGGACCGATTTGAAAAATTCTTTTTCCATTAGAAGCCGCATTGTCCCTGATGAACATAGGCTACTTTTTTTTTTTTTTTTTTTTCATGGGNTTTTTTTTTTTTTTTTTTGTATTTTTTTATTTTTTGTTTCATGTGTGTTTTAATGTTTCCGAAGCGAAGCGAGGGCGGGTCGCTAGTTTCACATAAAATAATCCTTAATTTTTTCTTCTATTTTTCTGTTTGAAGGACTGTATTTTTATTTTGAGGCATTTCAAAATTCTTTACATTTAACACGGTGACATTTCCATTGGTCAACTAACACAGGAGTGGTCGCGGCGGCCGCGGTCCATTGCCTCCCTCAACACGGAGATGACCGACACTCACTCGGTCACCGAAGTCACCGACAGGTCGCATGCTAGAATGTTCCATCTCAAGGTAATGTAACATGTTTTCATTGTGACCAATAACCGCATTGTTTTATCTTCCATTAATCTGGAAATGGCTAGACCAGTTTTATATGTATATTTAATTTATTGAATTCCTCTCCTTAGATATTCGCATTGTGTAATAATATTCATAATTTACCAACGGTAATTGGAATTTTGTATGAAATTCATGAAATATGTAATGATTCTTATAAACGGGTTGACGTTCATATTGTACTGAAAACAAAGAAGTTTGCCGATGAATTAAAGATATTTATAAAAATAAAACCTTACGTTACTAAGTTTATTAACTCAGATTCTTAAGAGTTATATATATTATGTGTATGTGTGTCTGTGTTTGTGTGTCATTGAAAATACGCATGAAGTGAATTTAAAATCTAAGCACGGCTTACTATCGCTTCTCACCCCTATACAAGATAATAAGAAAGTTATATAATATTTATATTGAAAATCTAACTATAATTTTAATGCTTCGACGCCACGCAATGTATTACAACTGAAACTCGAGAAGTCAATGCCCCGTTGGCATCGATGAGCCGCAGTTTGCTGTAGACCTATTTGCGTAGTTCATTGCCGCTCCGTTGATTGACTCCCGAATTGTAATGTCCATTAGTTTGTAGTTTTATTGAAACTAATTACAACCTCTCCTATCGTTGATAATGCAGAAACCGCCCCCACCACCGCCGGTGATGAACGAACGTCTGGTGACGGAGGAACAGGAAATAACGATGGAGAGCCTCGAGCCTCTTCCGGAGACACCCATCATGCCGGCCAGGTGATAACTACCCACAATCTACAAATTTAGACTTACTATTAGTTTCACTACTAATTTAAATTTACTAAGTGGTTTTAAGTACTAATTTAAATTTACTAAGTGGTTTTAAGTACTAAGTTAAATTTACTAATTGAAATTTACTAGGTAGGCAGCGGCTTGCCTCTGCCCCTGGCATTGCTGAAGTCCATGGGCGACGGTAACCACTCACCATCAGGCGGGCCGTGTGCTCGTCTGCCGACAAGGGCATTAAAAAAATATTAATACTACTAGATTACTTTAATTTGAAGATAAAGTAATTTGAACATTCGAATGAAGTCATTATAATGAGCTGTTTCACTAAATCTATTCTCATTTTATTTACAGGAAGCCGGAGGTTACTTCACACGTCGTTGACGACGTGTTCCTGCGCACCATCACGGAAAAGAAGACCATCGAAGATGTCGAGCGACACAAGCGTCTCGTCACTGAATATAAACAGGTATCCATAATAGTTCGCTTTATAGAATGTCCGAGCTGCCATATTTGTTTTAGATCTTACAGACTAGATTTCGATTTTCTTAAATTATCCCGAAAAAATGCGACTTTTTTATTGCTTATATAGGTGGACGAGCTTACAGCCCACCTGGTGTTCAGTGGTTAGCGGAGCCCATAGTCATCTACAACGTAAAGTGCCACCCATCTTGACATGGGAGATCTAACCGAACCTTCAAACCGAAACGCATTACTGCTTCACAGCGGAAACAGGCGGGGTCGTGGTACCTACCCGTGCGGACTCACAAGAGGTCCTACCATCAGTAAATTTACCACCATTTTAATAACTGTTCATTAATTTGACGATTAGTATATTATAATGGATTATGTTCTAACTTACCATCCAAAAAGATGATCTAGGCGATGAAAACAATTGGCGGAAAATCTTATATTTGCAATTCGCGATAAAGGTAGTCCCATGTTAGTGAGTACTGTCTCTCACTAACGATATTAGTGCCCTGAGGAATTATTTGAGATGACACCATCATCTCGTTTTTACCATCGCACCGTTCGCCACTGGCGTAGAAGTTCATCCATACCACCTGGAGCCGCTGCGTTCATCCACAGTGCGTTTTCAGAGATAATTTTTGCCACGGTAGGCAGCGGCTTGGCTCTGCCCCTGGCATTGCTGGCGTCCATGAGCGACGGTAACCACTTACCATCAGGCGGACCATATGCTCGTCAGCCTGCTCGGGTTATAAAAAAAAATTGTTGACCAAAGGTGCCGGCGCCGCCACCCCAGTTCGACGTGACGATCCGTAACCACACGGCCCCAGAGCCGCAGTGGGAGAACTTCTCGGACATAAGCAGCGCTTCCGGGATGACGCTGACGCCCAAGATGGAACGGGTACCGCTCTCGCTGCCCCCGCAGAAGATTATCGGTATGTATGGACTTTGACAGGTGTTATTGACAGTTGATGTTTTTTTTTTGTTATTGCTTAGATTGGTGGACGAGCTCACGGTGGTTACTGGAGCCCATAGATATTTACGTAAATGCGCCACCCACCTTGAAATGTAAGTTCTGAGGTCTCAGTATATTTACAACGGCTGCCACACCCTTCAAACCGAAACGCATTACTGCTTCACGGCAGAAACAGGCAGGGTGGTGGTACCTACTCGTGCGGACTCGCATGAGGTCCTACTACCAGTAGTAAAAGTGTTCCGTTGTTAGGGCCGATTTTGAGGACTAACGGATTCGTATCGATATCTCCTTTGTTTCTGTCGCATATGTAATCAGAGTTATGGGCTACAGGATATTTGATATGCTCTATACCCTCGTATTGAGTGATTCGACTTAAACGGATGTCAAATCCTGCAGGCAGATAGGCTATTAGACCTTTTTTTCCAAGGAAATACGACAGAAAGTCTTACCATGATGACGACCCATACTTGTATTATGAACATGAAAGTAGCTCTGTTTGTTACGATTTTACGACCAAACGGCCAAGCCGATTCTCCAAAAAAATCGATAATAGGAAGGAAATAGCTTGAACCATGACTAATCATATAGGATACCTTTTATCCCACGTCTCAGCAAACATTTCCACCCACGTGATGTAAAGTGTAGTCCACGTAAATAAAATCAAGAGAGAAAGACAAAATCTGTAAAATTAACAAAGTTTGCTTTTCTATTGAGCCCTTTCGGGTAGGTAATGTGTACCATCCTCCTATTTCTGTCTTGAAGCAGTTGTAATTAATTCTGAAGGATTGTACCATTATATGTCTCAAGCTTAATACCAGGAATGGTATGCAAATCTTTTTTTTAACGACGATAACATTTTTAACGTAACTCGTTGTCAGGCAAAGGGGGCCCGGACCTGTTCTCCCCGGAGTTGATCAAGCAAACGACTCATGTGTACCAGTCGCCGTCTTCCGCCGACCTCCCACTCCTGCCCGAGCTGCCTCCAGCCCGGAACCCTCTCTACAGGGACGAGGACGACGAGGATGTGCCGGAGCCGATTCCCGCACCACCAGTGCCAGCTAACTGGAGCGTTCTGACTAGAGTACTGAAAACGGAAGCTCAAGATGAGGTGGGTGGTTCGGTGATGACTTGTCAGTTCCGGTGGGAGGTTTTTTTTTTGGTATATTGGTAAACTATGCAATCCGACTACTGCGATGGTGACTATGAAGTCGTCGTGGCCTAAAGGATAAGACGTCCGGTGCATTCGTGTGTAGCGATGCACCGGTGTTCGAATCCCGCAGGCGGGTACCAATTTTTCTAATGAAATACGTACTCAAGAAATGTTCACGATTGACTTCCATGGTGAAGGAATAACATCGTGTAATAAAAATCAAACCCGCAAAATTATAATTTGCGTAATCACTGGTGGTAGGACCTCTTGGGAGTCCGCACGGGTAGGTACCACCACCCCGCCTATTTCCGCCGTGAAGCAGTAATGCGTTTCGGTTCGAAGGGTGGGGTAGCCGTTGTAACTATACTGAGACCTTAGAACTNCACCACCCCGCCTATTTCCGCCGTGAAGCAGTAATGCGTTTCGGTTCGAAGGGTGGGGTAGCCGTTGTAACTATACTGAGACCTTAGAACTTATATCTCATGGTGGGTGGCGCATTTACGTTGTAGATGTCTATGGGCTCCAGTAACCACTTAACACCAGGTGGGCTGTGAGCTCGTCCACCCATCTAAGCAATAAAAAAAAAAAAAATAAGATATGTGAAAAAATCACAGGACGATGCGGATAGTATCTGTTTTTAATATCGCAGCTAAACGTAATAAAAACATAAATTACTATAAAGAATAATATAAAGGCGCTGTTGGTGTCTGTCTGTTACTTCGCTTTATTTCTTCTAGACCATGAAACCTATTAAGTTATGCTTTGCATTAATAATAATGTTAAACAAAGAAGTCTTGTGTACCTACTTAATGCCTTATTTTATAGAAAAACGGTTGAACTATACGGGTGTTATTTTAAAAATACTGTTTACGTACACGGACCTACATTGTTGTAGCTGGATAAATTTCAAGTGTGTTCTAGTGCACGCGGGAGAAACTGCACGTTCTTTTTGGTAATGTGAGGTTAAGTGGGTTGCTTATTTTTTTATTTTATTTTTTATATTGCCCTTTTAGGCAGACGAGCATACGGCCCACCTGATGGTGAGTGGTTATCGTCGCCCATGGACTTCAGCAATGCTAGGTGCAGAACCAAGCCGCTGCGTACCGCTCCAAGCCGCTGCCTAACGCTAGATTATGTAGATGCCAAAATCACGATTTAATCGACCAGGTCCTGTTGGACTCGGAGCGCTCTCTGCGGCTGACGCGCGAAGAACGCCTCCGCTGGCGCGAGGTGATCACGCACGAGAGCACCCTGCGCCGCTCGCTGGCACGTTCCTCCACCAGAGAGGACTTCACCAGAGTCGCCCACGACCAGCGCTACGCTCCCCTCTACACGCCACACAAGTGGGACGTGATCATACGTATACTAGCACCGCCCCACGACAAGCCGAAGGTAACCTTATGTTCTAATCGAACCAATAATAACTGGGACCAAATCACCCATGATAATTCTTCCCCAAATTAAGATTCCCTGTGTTATGGATACCAGGGACTGACATACGTATCTTTATACGTTTAAATATACACATAATTATATAAATGTGGGATTTACTCAAAGTAAATAGCAGTTTTTTGGAAGAGTAACAAAATTTATTAAGATAGCACGTCGTAGTCTTTCGCACTCTTACTATGCCCGATCGCCATCTTGACCATTTCCTGTCCGTCCCTTTTTTCCTCATACATTCATCATTTTCACTCGAAAACGTTCACTTTCCCACATAAATAATAAACACCCAGACAAAGAGGAAAGAGGGGGCTCTAGCTACTGCATCACTGAGTCAGTCGAAGATTTCCTTGTTTTTATTGGTCTAGTTGGATTGACCGTGTAGAACGGCAGACTTGGTTACCGCATAGTGTGGGGGGAAACGGGGTGGTCGTCTTCTTCTTCTTCTTCATCGTTCCCTCACTGCTGAGGATCAACACTGACAAGATCCGGCGAGAAACTCAGTGGGCTGTGCCTATGGGTTAATTTACGCGTCGAGACGGTGCTTGAGATACCTAAAAGCACCATTAATGGATCGGGAGGATCCGTAATGACGTGTTTAGGGCGATTCGCAGCGGTCTAATGTTTGATTCGCTCGTAGAACCGCTACCGCAAGAAGACAGAATGGGACTCCCGCTCCCGGCGTAGCTCGCTGCCGACGCTTTACGAGTACGACAGCGACGCCACGTCCCTGCGCGACCCGCAGCGCTCCCGCCGCTCCTCCTACCGAAGCGACCACGTTGATATGAGGTATATACATCATTACTTACATATCCGATTCAAATTCAAATTCAAAATCATTTATTTCAACTTAGATGTCAGTATAACACACTTGTTAAATGTCAAAATATAAATAACGATGATAACTCTACCACCGGTTTCAAAAAAATCCACAGTTCTGAGAAGAACCGGCGAAACAAACTCAGCGGGCTTTTTTTTGTTTTTTCTCAAATATTTTCATATTTTTTTTAAATAAGTAACAATATTTGCAATAAACGAAAAAACAAGTCAAAAAATACAATTACAAAATAATAATAATAATGAAAAATGGTAAGGCCAGTAGCGAACGCCTCATTCCCACGTAGTGCCATCTAGTAAATAATCCTTAACTTTATAATATGCCTTGTTGCACAAACGTTCCTTGACAGTTTTCTTAAATCTATGCACAGGTAGTAATTGAACGTTTTGTGGGATCTTGTTGAAAAGTTGTACACCCAGCCCCCTAAAAGAGTTGCCTAGTGTTCACATTATGCAAATCGCAGACTCTGGGGAATTCTTCAATGTTTTTACGCACGTACAAAAATTTTTTAAAAATGTATTGGTACGCTAAAGTTAGAATTTTGATTCCTTTCCCCATAGTACTTAATAATTTTAATAATGTTTTTTGTGTTAACGAGTTAGGCGTTTTGGTGCAAACTGTAAGCCTGACTTTGTATTGAATGGAATAAATAAATAAATGTAATTATTAAAACACCTTTTTGTTAAGGTATTTTATGACAAGTCTTATTTTCAAGTCAAGGTCAAGTCTTATTTTGATTAATGAAAACTGCACTGATGAAAACGGAGGTTAGGTTATAATCTGTAAGCCTTGAAAATAAACTTAATTAATTATTGTTTAAATCGATTTATAATGTAAAAATTATAATTTAATTTTTTATATTTAATATTAGTGGTGTATTTAATTAATTTACGTTAAATTTTGTTGGTTTCCATTAGATTAGATGTCACACGAGTCCTCAAATTCATGAAATTAAAATTTAATAACACTTCAGAGGTTAATGCATCAAGATCAACTTAAGTAAAATTGTATAATATTAACAGAGAAATATCCTAAAGTCGAAGAAAACAATAATTATATATCGCTTAAGAAATTCCCTAAAGTCGATATTTTTAATTGACGTGACTATTAAAAACGTATTTTCGTTGACATGACGCATTCGCGAAGCAGCTGCTCTTGACCAGTTAGATCTCCTTCGCTTCCTGGCAAAGCTTTTGCTCGGCCACCTGTCCTGGCGAAACTAGAAAGGCCTTCGAGCCAGCAGTAATCATTTCACTAAGTCGCTTTCTCTGTCCCTATATCTGCCTGTCCCTATGTATGCTTAAATATTTAAAACTAAGCAATGGATTTTGATGCGGTTTTTTTTAATAGATAGATTGATTCAAGAGGAAGGTTTATATGTATAATAACATCCATTAAATAGTGGATAAATCAATAATAAATTACAGTTTCCGAAGCGAAGCGAGGGCGGGTCGCTAGTATTTCTATAAAAAAAAATCGTTCACATTCTTAGGTCGATGTCCGAAATGATGGTGGACTACGCGAGAGAGCAGGCGGACACGCACAGCGAAGTCTCCGGGGGAACTCAGCTCGGCAGGTACTACGATGACGACAGCGACTCCGAACATCCCTTCCATAATAACCAGTAAGTGTTATAGAAAAAAAAAACAGACTCTACAAGGCCCTACAATTATTAAAATACCCTACATGTTCATCAGGGATATATCTATGAGTAGGTACTGCATATAAACTAGTTCGTAGTATTTTTGTTATTCTTTTATTGCTTAGATAGGTAAACGAGCTCACAGCCCACCTGGTGTTAAGTGGTTACCGGAGCCCATAGACATTATACATGTCTATGGGCTCCGGTAAATGCCGCCAACCACCTTGAGATATGATATGAGTTCTAAGGTCTCAGTATAGTTACAACGGCTGCCCCACCCTTCAAACCGAAACGCATTACTGTTTCACGGCAGAAATAGGCGGGGTGGTGGTACCTACCCATGCGGACTCACAAGAGGTCCTACCACCGGTAAAAATCTTGATGAAATGATCTTTCATAGGTGCTTCATTGTTATGTCGATTCTTCTTAACCAGGTCGTGGTCCCGTCACTCTCTCCACCGCTCAGCGAGTCAGCCGTCACTGGCGCGCTCCGCTACTGAAGTGGTGGAGCAGTGGACCGCGCCAGAAGGCGACGTCACACCCACACCGGGACGCAGGCTTAGAGGTACGAAACGATATAATAATTGAAGACGTGAGTGGATGACAATTGGTTAATTTTAAGAAAACGGGCAAAGAACTTTTGCTTATTGTACATTTTCTTCGTACATAACTCCATCATCATAAGCAATTTCTAAAAATAGCCTTTAAGTCCGGAGCTTTAAGGTCTAAAATGGTTTGATGGTAAACAAAATCTTTTATATTTTCAAAAAAAAACTTCGTAACTACGACATGTCAATTGATGACCGTCATTTAGATTTTCTAAATTTTTCTTATTTTAAAATAAAAATTATTGTGGCAGTGTGAATTGACTAAAAAGTACCGATCTTCCCACTCTTTGTGTGACGGTTACCGTTTATCGTGGACGGTATGCTGGCCAGTCTATCATGGCAAATAATAAATGTTCAATCTTGTTTATCGACTTCATTAGTCTTAGTAGGTAGTATTATAGCCCGGTGTGCTAGGTTCTACCATCTACCTATATAAATCTTACTAGACAACGTGACAATGGTCATCAATATTCATTGCATTATTATTTGGTTGAATGTTACTTCGGAATCATTTAAATTTTAAAGTATTGTGCGCCCGGAACTAGTTGGCCGCGCCTTAGGTATGTGAGGTGTGGGACGGAGAGGCGGGGGCGCTTGCTGTCATTACTGAAATGAGATATGATACTATGATGGACGAAATCATTATAAGATGATTCTGAATCAAGTTCAGAGAGTTCAGAATCAAACGATTCAGAGGATATGTCAGAGTAATTTCATATATGACTTAATTTGTTTTTGGTTTATTTTACTATTAATTACAATATAATTAGATAGGCACAACATAAACTTCTAAAAGTTTAATTGTTTTTTATTAATTGGTTATTTAATATATTCATATTTTTTTTATTTAGTCATCACTGTCTAATCTCATGTGCGTTACGAGCAGTAGGCAACCCGCCCCCTCACCCCTGTCGCTACCTAAGGCACGACCAACTATTTTTTTTAAGGGATTTTATGACCTGGTAACCGAGACCTTTAAGTCATGTCTCATTTTAATTTATATTCATATTTTTATGAAAAATGATATTATGGAGTGAAATGAAATGAAGACGATTGATTTGAGACATTAATCAACTGGGTTGAAATTAAATGAAATGAAATGAGATGATATGGGATGAAATATAATTTCAATAAAATGGTGGTCATTTACTAAGATTTTTTCAGTGGACTTTTTGGAGGATCCCGAGAAGTTACGTCCAGCGGCTTTGTTTCATTTTACCACATTTGTGCACTTTCACAGATATTAAACAGTTAATAAACCACCATTATTACACATTTAAACCCGAAGAAACACTAAATAGACAAAATAAAACAAATCACACACCTTCACTTCTCGCGTTCCCGCCAAAAAGTCCCGCGACCAACTAGTTTCGCGCGCACTATAGACACATGACACATTATGACCGTGACTTCGTGTTTCCAGGTCCTCAAGGCCTTACGACATTTACATCGTCTGAAGTACGAACGTTCCAAGCGACCTCCAGGGAATGGCGCGACTAAGGAATCTACCACTTCATGATTAGCCAATCGAACCAATATACATAGATGGTTCAGAAATACACTACGCCACCGTGAACCGACAAAACATATTGATTTGTTAAGCCAACTCAATAGACACTGTTGCAAGTTGTTTCGTATTTCGATCGCGCAATGAAAACGTGCGAATTTTGAGGTCATCGACCTTATTCAACCTAGCACAGTGGATGAAACCCACGCTGTATTACATTGCATCATAAAATATAGCAGCAAATACATAACTTTTCTAGTTTTTTTTGTTGTATCTAGGATCACTAGCATCTGCCTTGTTTTCGGGAGCTATCTCTATTCATATTATTGCTGTCTCTCTTTATAATTGTAAATAGAAAAAGACAGCATTCATTTCTATTTTTATAATTTCATCGGTAAACGAACAGTTTCGAAATGTAATATAAAAGAAATAAGTATTTGATTAGCAATCAAGATTTATAATTTGTTTTAAAAAAGAATTGAGTGAATATTGACAATATTGTATAGCTTTAGTATGTAAAATGGTCGAGAGATGGCATTACCTTTTAAAGGAAACAACTTCATGGTAAAACAGAATGAATGCTCAAAGTGACAACTTTCACTGCCTTTCGAATTATTTTCGTTCATTCCATTATTATAAATTTAATACGACCCGTCCATTCGTTTCTAATTTAAAATTAAATAAAACCTAATCAAAGTTATCTGTTCACAATATTTACGGAGAGTGATCAGACAAAAAAAAAGATGGCGGATTCTAGAAAATGATTGCGTGTTGAAGTTTTATCGATAATGTTCATTCTACTTAACTGTGGCACAGAAAATTTGTGGGGATAAATACTTAAATCAAATTTATATTACAAACTGCTCATAATCTGCTATACAGCTCTGTTTTACATACAGCCACGAATTTCAAACTAACATTGTGCCAAAATAAATGTCGCTTCTCTAACAATATGTCTTTTGCTATTTTTATTTTTAATTGTATTTTATAAAATTTGTTATGGACTTCAATAAGTTTTTTCACAATTCATATGTTTCATAATCTGTCAAATACTTGTTTGACAGTTTATTTAAGATGAAAAGAAACGGCACAGGGTTTTTTTTAATAAATAATAAAATCATTAGTTCTTGAGAAAGTTACTTCATTTTGAAGTCCATAATATATTTTTACTGCTTTACGATTGTACGCTTTAGATGTAAATATAATGTTAAGCGTAAGACCTAGCAGTCGAGGCAAGATGTCCGAATGTTCGTAAAATCTATTCACATGAAGTAGACATCCATTGCTTAAGAAAAGAAAAACATGTGTTTCTTACGCAGCCCTGATGTTGGGGCTATTTGGCCATTTGGGTTCAGAAGCAGTGAAACATATTTGTGTCGTCCGACTTTCAAAACAAAAGGATTATGGCACTAATACATCTAGGTGTTTGTTTCATTTATCATCTTTTTATTTAATGTATATTATGAAATATTTTTGTCAATACAGCAATACAATTTGTATAATTACGTAGCAATTGTTTAGGTACGCTTAAATTTAGAAAGAAACTTTGGGAGTGCACAAGGCTCAGTGCCAATTAATAAGAATATATTACCGATTTACCTCATCAGGTGACTGATATTCTTGTATAATTATTTTCTAAATGCATATTTATTAACGGCCTCATTGAAACTTTCTAGGGCCGTTATGAAAATCGTCGGATAATGTTATTCATAATTAAACTGTATTCGAATATTTAATATCATATTTGTAACAGGATGATAAAGCTCCAATAACCCATCACGAATAAGGCTGTATGTATATTATTTTCCCCAACACTTAGGCCAGTCTAGCAATTTCTTCTTTTGCCAAACAAAATAAGTGTTTTTTTTTTAACGCTGGTTTTATTTTGAATTTTATAGATTTTGCGTTGTCTCGTCTAAAAACGATGTTTATAACATTCTTGCCTTGCCTGCTATGTTACTGAGGGTTAAGGGCGAAGGGAACAGTGCAAGATGTGCTCAATTAAGGGTGATTTTTTAATGACGTCATAAATTTAATCGGTACTCGAAGCGTCGACGTGGTAACATCTTAGAACTTACTATATTTATATGTAGTACTGTAGTCGACACTTGGTTGTATTTCTTTTTTATCAACAACCTTTTAAATTAGGCTGTATAATCAGGGATAGGCCTGACAGAAAAAAAAATGTTTTTTCGATATTTGAAATTTTGAAAAATATTTTCTAAAGATTTTTCTACTAACGCTATGAAAAATTACGTGTAAAGTGAAATTTTATGTTTAATTAAACAAATCTTGTAGAATGATCTACATGACCTACAGTAATGAGTACTAAGTGAGAATTTAATTTCAATTGCAATTTTATTAATCAACATAATTAAAATAACTTTATTATTAAGAATAATAATTATCCCATATGATGGTTTGTTATAACATGAATAAATGAAAATATAATTTTATATTCCGTCTTCGATTTTAGTTAGAAAATTCAAATACTATGAAAGAATCGATTTGAAATAAAAATCTAATAATATATTACGGTGCTAAGAGTGGAAAATTCTAATATTGTTTTTAAGGTGAATTAAATAAGACATATTACAAATTTAATGTATGTTCGTAAATAATATACGTACTTTAACATTTAATTTTGTGTTTTATTTGAACAAGAAATTTCCCAGTTCCAAGGACGCTACCTATGTTTATCTAATAGCGGATTAGATTGAAGGCCTAATACATATATTATTAATTTTTAGCGAATTTTTAACGATTGTAGAAAATAGTGATGAGCAAGTTATGAAATCAAATTGATACTTAAATCTCAAGCGTCAGAATGGGTGGTGGCATTATTTTAATTTTATTTTTTATTATTTACATGGGTGGACGAGTTCACGACGCACCTGTAGCTAAGTGGTTACCGGAGCCCATAGACATCAACAACGTAAATGCCGCCACCACCTTGAGACATGTGTTCTAAGTCTCAGTTTTGCAGTACAACGGCTGCCCCACCCTTCGAACCGAAACGCATTACTGCTTTATGGCAGAAATAGGCACCGGTGATACCTACCCGAGCGGACTCACAAGACTTCCTACCACCAGTAAATCGTATAAACAGAGTGTTGGTTCACCACATTATCTCTCACAAACAGCACCCTACGTGACATAATATTATAATGATACCTGCGCCTTTTTACTCAGCCTTCTCTTTACAAATTTATATTTCATTTATATTGTCAATTGTAATCGATTTTAATGGACTAAAGAAATCAATACGACAGTTTTACAGAAGATAAGTTTTCTTTGAATGATTATTGAAAAGAGTAGGTACAGTTAAAAAATTGAGACCCCTAGGAAAAGACATAAAAATGACACATAAATAATAATATGTAATTACTACCTATTATAGTGATTTGACACAAATCGACCATCCTGCTGTCATCGAATTCGTTTTTGACTTTGTAAAATCACTTTAATCCATAGACCTATATAGTAGGGACACGACATATTGTTCTATACGTACAATTGCTTATATAAATAGCACCCATTTTTAAGGCACATACATAAACATATATCTATCTCGTTCTTACTCAGCACTTTAACTCGCAGGAAAACAATGTAACAGTATTTCAGTGCGTACATAAAATGAAACATGAATATACGTAAATATCTCCGTCTCCGTCTAATGAGGCCGAAAATCCGCCATGTTTAGCGCGCCAAATGTCATTGTCACGTCAGTTCGGCCGTCTGTTTTGGGTTGTACATTATTTATTGACTATGATATCGATTTAATATGATTGATTATATAAAATTTCATAATTTATCATGCTTAAAACATACAAAAATAATAATTAAAACGTATTTTATAGGATCTCAAGAAAGTCGATGTCCTAAAACTATTATCTATATGTATTTAAATTCATTATGGAGCCCTCATCCGAAAAATCCATTTTTCGGTCGGAATCTATTGATCATGACACTAATCATAAATACCACTTTAAAATATGTCATCAAAACATATTTAGACATTCTGTTTAGATATTTCGGGAAAAAGGCTACCGACAAAATCTCTTCGGAACTATTTAAATAAAATAGTTTTATTCCGCAGTGAGTAAAACACTATTGTAAATTTGTTAAATATTTAATAATTAAGTGATTTTAGAGAGGAAGTCACAAGGAATGACGTTTGTAATTAATGAATAAATGTTCTGTAGGTGTTTTTTTTTTCACGCGGTCCCTTGATAAGTTTAAAATTTGAATCACTCTCAAGCGAAAGTGATTCAAATGGTGCGGCGCACCTTCCTTGGGGTGCGCTGCGGTAGTATGTTACGGACTTTAGAGTCAGCAAAACAATTAAAATAGATTGTAATAGTCTAAGAAAAACACGTACTCAAAATACGATAACATTTAGCATGCTAGAAATGGGCTGATGGCTTTGAACTACGCCATATCTTTATGTTTTGCGACAAACGACAACTTTATAAAATCAGTGTAGCAACTTTTAAAAATCATCATATCGTTTACTTGGCAAATTCGAAGGACGAACTTGTCTTAGATTTCACCCATCTAAATCATATCATATTTGCACATAACAATATACCTACTTACTTCCCATTAAAGTATAAATTCTACAAATAAATAATACTCAACAATATTTAAAATAAAATGAGCCAAGAACGTTTATCGATAAAACCTGATTACATTGAAATCTTTTGTACAGCACTAAAGCCGCCATGTTTTGTGGCCAGATGACGTCACAGTGGCACGAAATTTTGGTTGACGTTTCATTTCCATAGGTTTCCTACTTCATTGCTTTAATCTCATTTAGCTCAACCGTTGTATTTCAAAACCAAAGACATCTTTTTTGATAATCTGTGGTCGGAGTGAACTGTCAAAACATGTAAAAAAAACGAATGAACTTTACACATTTATTACATACATTTAATCTACAAAATTCGTTAATTTCAAAAGATACAAAGATAATTCGTAGTCACCATAGGAACGTAAAGAAGCATTGTTCATTTTAAATTGTTGTAAAAAAAAATTATACGTAATCTTTGAATGCATTTTCATGCGAGTTTTATGTTGGTTATATATTCAATTTATCGATATTAAAATCGGTACATGAATGTATGCGGGTTTCTTAATATTTCAACAGCGAAACAATGAATATGTGACCTTCCTTGGGAATAAGTCACCATGAAATATATATTTTCTATTAGACACTGACAGACCGTGAACTAATTTTTACAAAGTTTACATGAACTAAGTATATGTATAAGATGAGCTCTTGAAACTTTTATTATATGATCATTTTAAAATGGCCAGTACAAAGATGAGAGACACATAACAGAAATACCTTTTAATAATAACTAGGTAGTGTTTCGCCTGCGTGGACTACATTTTCCATCGCGTTCACTTACCGGTGTTACCACTTTTTATTTGCCCATTATTTTTATTAATAATATATTATATATTTTTATATTAGGTATATTTAGAAAATGTATTAATTTAAGTATTTATATATCGAGCGATGAAAGGCAATTTGGTTTAAGCGACATTTTTGAAATATTACGGGAGAGCCATTTAAAGATCATAATTTTGAAAAAATATCATGAAATAAAAGCTTCTTCAGCTATTTCAATGGTGTAAACATAATTGAAGTTCGATTAAAAAAAATCGGTTGTCTGTAAAGTCGGTTTACTGACGATAGTTGAACGTGACAACGTCATAAGATAATACTGATGGAATGGTTTCATATTTCAAAAGAAAATTTTAATTTTATTTGTTTGATAGATATTTTGTATAGAGAAGGAGGTAAATGGAAATCACTATTGAATTGATCGTGATGCTTCAATTTCTTTCATGACGTCATCAATGTTCAAATTAGACTCGAATTGACTACGGCGTTCCATGATCGCGTCTTTGTTGTCGTCAAATAATTGGAGAAATTTATTGCCAGTTTAGCCACGTGATCGTGGAACGCCTCAGAGCGAGGTAACGCCGCATGAGTCATGTTTTTTCGTGCGTGCAGCCGGCTCCATCGAATTTTAAGACGTTGTCATGTCAAAATCATCGAATTGTTGATGCTAATACTTAATCACAAAGATAAATTTCGCATATTAAGCGAATTGTCGCTTAAGCCTTTCATCCCTCTCTATATATATATTTTATGTAATATCTTTAATAACAATCGTTTGTAGTTTGTGAAATAGTAAAGCATCTATTTTTCTTTAATTACTCAATTAATGCACTTACTACGCTCTTTTCTGTATAACCTTCGGTAGATTGTTAGCCAATGCCTTAGGCAATAAGTCTGCCTATACCTATACAAATATTGTGTATAAAAATAAATAAATATTTTATAATAAGACCAAATATATTTCATAAATTCAAAACTCATTTCCGTTACGTGCCTCGATAATATTTAAATTAACTTTATTAAAATACAACAACATTAAAATCGAAAAAACGTGTCTAACAAATTGTAGTTAGCTAGTTAAACATTTCGTATCTATTAAGCTTAAGACAGAATAAATATTTCTCTATTATTGTTATTATTTACATTTAGAACCTAAGAATGCTAATTATATACATTGTAAGCCCTATTTAGTCTAAGATGCACCTATTTAATATACCTAACTACGATATGAAATAAACAAAGAGGTCAAATTTGTCTTTTGACGTAGGTACTTATACCATTTGGCATCCCATTGCTAAGCTGAAACACTTCTTAGCACATTTTTCTGTTCTAAAAACTAAAAATCTTTAGACTGAGATAAGTCTAAGTGAACACTTTATATCTTATTAAGTCCAGCCGAGAAAAAGTTTTATATCTGACTGACGGAACCCAAAGATAGTCGCCTTCTAGTCACTTGTTTCCAGAATCTCTTCTCAAATTGCTTCTCCTGTAATAACAATTATCGTTAGCGTATTTTCAAAGGCTGTTTTAAAGATTTTTTTCATTTTATTGTGAACGTGAAATACGTCTAAAAGCAGAACTTGTCTTTTTGAAGTGAAACTTCTTTAGGCGCATGCGGGTAAAATTTTTACAGAACGTCACGCAGGTATGCAACGGAAGTGACATCAAACTACTATTGAAATTAAGTACTTGTCAAATGTCAGTAGTAGCAGTTGTATTTTTCCAACTGAAAAGGCAAATGTATCATATCATACGGCCTAATATTTTGTAACTTTTTTGTGAAAAATGTTAATAGGAATTGAAATGAAATGAAAAGAATTTGGAACATTAATCAAATAGCATGAAATTAAATTAGTCAATTCAATTGGCAAAATATTAGTCATTTACAATTTAGAAATTTAAACATAATGTGACTGTCAACACTGAGGTTTGAGATTGACATTTGACAGACTTTTGGCGGGAACATATTATCTTCCTTTTTTCCTTCCTCTAAGTCTCGGAAATCTAAAGTTTTCGATTTGTATAAATATAAGCAAGACTTATAAATTAGTTCGCCAAAAAAGTTTCATTTCTGACATGTGTACTTTGTACGCACGCACTTTTTTTTTATTCGACGTCCAGCTTCCAAAGGATCATTCAGGGATATAGAAAGGATAATTTTGAAGATCGTAAGAATCGTGCAGCATTAGGAGGCTGCGGCGACAGGATGAAAGAATGAAAAGCGCAGTGATGTTCATTAAAAATATATATATATTTTTTTTATCTCGCGAAATTCTAACATTCCAATCGAAAATGGACAGAATAATTTTAACATACAACGAAACAAGAGAGCGTAGTTACAAGCTGGATTTAAACTTTTAACATTTACGCAGATCAATTGTAACGAACTAACTATAATAGAGTTCGTATTCAAAAATTTCACCAATAGGTGGTAAGCTATGAACACTCACAAGAAACATTAAAATAGTTTTACTAAAATTTGTTTTAAAATCTAATAATTTTACTGATTCGAATAACAGTAATGTAAATACTTAAATTTCTAAAACGTTTAAAGGCAATCCAGTTGGCCGTTACAGAAATCCCATTCGTTATGAATTTAATGAAAATTTTCACAATCACTTAGAATTAAGGGGTTACAATTGTTACGTGTTAAATTATTCGATTCTAATTTTTTTTTTATTAATTGCACCTCATGTCGCCAGATAATTAATTAATTAATTTTTTAGAACTCAGAAATTGATTTTAATTTTATCTTTGGTATTAACGTAACCGAATTATTAGATTCGACAGTGTTGCAAGGTTTAAAAAACGTATTAATTTTAAGAGCTGGTAAGTTATCGCCGCTAATTGGGCGGCGCGTAGTAACTCCCTCGCTTCTGTTTAAACCCAGCTGTTTAAGGCTGCCTGTCCACCGGGGGGGAGCGAGGCAGCGGAGCGGAGCAACGGAGAAAGGCGGAGCGGAGTTGCGTACTGTGTCTGTCCATCGGAGCGGAGCGAGAAAATAGTTTAGTATAGGAGTTTAGTACCTACGCGACGAGTCAGTTCACACTGCGGGGCGCCTTGCGACTGCGCCTGCACTCGCTTCCTCGCTCCGTTGCCTCGCTCCGTTATCCCACTCCGCTTACCGGTTTTGTATAAATTTTTAAAATAGTTCGCAACTCCCTGTCTGTCAACTAAAGAGTAGCGGAGATTTTGTGCAATCTTATTGGTTAATATTTCTCCGTTTCTCCGCGCCGCTGCCTCGCTCCGCTCCGGTGGACAGGCAGCCTTTAGGCCGCCGGGAAGCGATGCGCCGATGCGTTCACACATAGCCATTCACAAAGCAAATCTTGTAATATCCGTTGCTGCTCACGTGCGTCCGGCGCGGAGAGAAAGGCCGTCCCACGTCCAACGGCTCGCGGCGCGGGCTATCGGACGACGCGCGGCGCCGGAGGAAACCCATTCTGCTGAAATATCACATATTCTGTACAAGACAAGCCCTTCTAATTTGTTTAGCCTTTTATTTATTGACCTTGTAGGCAGACGAGCAAACGACCCGCCTGATGGTGAGTGGTTACCGTCGCCTGTGGACGTCAGCAATGCCAAAAGCAGAGCTGCTGCGAGAGCAAGCTGGTTTTTCTTTATACCGTGGCTTTCTTTGTTACCGCGTTTTTAACGAAATTCAATAAGTGTAATGAAGTCGATATACAAATAAATTATTATAAATTATTATTATTTGGCAACTACCCAATATTACCATTTTTTTTATTTCTGCTGCAAAACCATTCTAGTTTTGATACATAGACATTCTACTTTTGAGATAAGTGATAGAATTCAAATTTAAAATATCTATGTTAAATGGTAATCTCACAGCGCCGAAGTAGTTTATAAATGTATGTATTACATACTGTAAAATTATAATGTGTTATACTAAATAATTTTGTAATGCAATATTTAAGTCCTTGTTTCCCGAAGATTGTGGGTCATATTTAAACCTATTTAATAATGTGTATCATACACATAACGTGTCGCGTAATTCGTTCTAGGTTATATTCGGTAGTAGTAAGTAGTAGTAGTAGTAGTAGTAAGTAGTAGTAGTAGTAGTAGTAGTAGTAGTAGCAGTAAGTAGTAGTAGTAGTAGTAGTAGTAGTAGTAAGTAGTAGTAGTAAACAGTAGTAGTAAGTAGTATTAGTGAGTAGTGGTAGTAAGTAGTATTAGTAAGTAGTATTAGTAAGTAGTAGTAGTAAGTAGTAGTAGTCGGTAGAAGTAAGCTTACATCTTCCCGTTCTGGCATAGAGAGCGCGTCCGCGAACGCATCATCTGAGCTTCCACTCGTGCCAGTTCCTCCATCTCCATTGTTTTCGTTTCGCTTTCTGGATCTGGTAAGGTAATGTTATTAGCCCGTTTTTATTAGCTTAGTAAGTACGTTTATTTGTATGTAACGGAATCTTTGAACATTATTTTCAACGACTTCAAAACATCCCTTGCATACCCATCAAGGTTTGACATGTGAAGCACAATGTCAAATAAATTTTCTACAAAAATTGCTAAATTTTTAATTTCTTAATTGAGTTTTGGCTTTGACGTTGGTGTTTCTTGCTTCGGCATTTATTTATCAGTAGGTATGTTTATTACGAGCTCTTTAATGTTCTCGATAGCGTAAAAGTCAATGAGTTGACTTGAAGGTCTGTGGCGCATTTACGTTGTAGATGTCTATGGGCTCCAGTAACCACTTAACACCAGGTGGGCTGTGGGCTCGTCCACACATCTAAGCAATAAAAAAAAAAAATTTGAATGGAGTAAGAACAGCGCTTTTAACGGCAAACGAAAGCAAACGGTCCAACTTTTACGCTATCGAGAACGTTAAAAAACTCTCACTAAGTACACTGTAGACGTAGGCCGTGGTAAAAAAAATTACTAGTATCCTTCTCCCATAGACACAGACCACTGAGTTTCTCGCCGGATCTTCTCAGTGGGTCGCGATTCCGATCCGGTGGTAGATTCAGCGAAGCACTGCTTTTGCTAGGACTATTGGTTCTTTTTTAATGAGAGTAGACATAAAACCTCTCGCATGGCCACTTATAAAAAAGAAACATAAGAAGCAAAAGTCAAAAATAAAAAAAGAAGACTATCGCCGACCGCACCGCACGCGCTGTACACGCACACGCCGCTTATTTTTTCACAAATATTTTCATGGACTCAAATTAATTCTCTATTATACAAACTCTTACTGACGACCATATTCGTCGTTGCGCGAGTGATATACAAGTTTTATAGACAATAATTTAGAAGAGTGCCGTGTCAAGTCGCCGCCATTACGCGTCGTCCAGCAGTGGCGTCGAATTCTTCAGCCTGGAAGAAGCTAGCGACGGGTTGGCAGGTACGTCTACTCCTCATAGCCTAGCCTCGGCCTTCCCCTCTTTTGTGCATCTTTAGCGATACTCGCCCCCGCAAAACTTTCTTCAAAAATATTGAACCAGCGCACCGCCGTGGTGGAAAATTTGTAAAGAGTTTTTCCCACTAACTATTGTTAGCAAGTTTTCTTAGGTTGAGCCCGTGAGCTCGCCTACCCGTCCGCGCGTAATGTAACAGCTCCTTAGAATAGCAGGGAATAGGTAGGGGAAGAAAGAGTACCCTTCCAGGCATATACAGAACTGCGCGAAGTAGTATGAGGGGCGGTGCGGTGGGGGGGCGCGCGGCACAGAGCCACGGCGTCCGCGCTCGCCACGCGACGCAGCAGCGACTTCTGACACGCCGCGCGAAACGACCAGCGGCCGGACCCGCCACCCTGACACGCAGAATATCATCATATCAATTTACTTACTACACACGCTACTGCCGTGAAGCAGTAATGCGTTTCGGCTTGAAAGGTGGGGCAGCCGTTGAGCAGCCGTACTTGAGACCTTAGAAATTGTATCTAAAGATGGGTGGCGCATTTACGCTGTGGATATCTGTGGGCTCCGGTGGCCACTTGGCACCAAGTGAGCTGTGAGCTGGTCCAGCTATCTAAAAAAAAAAAATATTTTTCGATTGTCATCCATTATTCTGTATTAGCACTGGTAGGCTGTCTTGTCTCGCCTATGTCCAACAGTGGACGTCTATGGGTTGATAAGAAGAGGGACCGTTAATGGATCGGGAGGATCCGTAATGACGTGTTTAGGGCGACGTCGACTGTTTACCATTCGGTCTTAAGGATCGGGTATCAGATTCATCATTTTAAGATATATATGTATCGCGTTTATCCTGCTATGTATTGTTTTCTATAATAATGCAATAGATTTACTCGTGTGCTAAGCAATTTACTGGTGGTGGGAGCTGTTGCGAGTTCACAGGGGTAGATACCACCACCATGCCTATTTCTGCCGTGAACCAGTAATGCGTTTCGGTTTGAAGGGTGGGGCAGCCGTTGTACTGTAACCTTAAAACTCATGTCTCAAGGTTGGTGGCGGCAATTACGTTGTAGATTTCTATGGGATCCGGTAACCACTTATCATCAGGTGGGCCGTGAGCTCATCCACCCACATAAACAATAAAAAAAAGTTTGGCGTATTAAGCGTTACCCAAGATGCCTCCTGTTCTGCCAGCATATCCGTCCCCTGGTCCAGCGCCAACCTCATCTCCGCTCGAGGACTGAGTCGCTCCGGCGTCAGTGGACGTTCCGGTTGTGAAGACACCTCCGGTACTGGTGCTGGCTCCAAAACTAACGATATATTACAAGGATATCATAGAATACCATATCTAGTGTGTATTTGGTATTGTTTTATTATTGTTTTGAGACTTGGTTACGTTTAAGGTTGAACATTTAGGACCTTGTTTAATATCTGGTATAATTTTGCTACTGTCTACACAATAAGAATATCAAAGAGATACCTGACCGCAATTGGCGATCCAATTTGGTACCAATTGAGCCTTTAGAAAACAATTCCAGTATTGGCTTGCCTAATTCCTAAAGACATTGGCAATATTGAATATCATAATCTATTTGGTGTGGATATAGTCGACCGAATGAATGAATGACTGACTGACTGACTGAATGAATGAATGAATGAATGAAAATTCTTTATTTCACAAAAATATTGTACAAAGGCGAACTTAACGCCATGCAGGCTTTCTCGACTGACCTGGTGATTGTTGTGGAAGGGTCGTGGGGTTGTGTATAGTGGTACGGTCGAGTGTGGAAGGGGTGCTGGCTGAGCTGGCTGAGTCCCGGCGTCCTCCAGCAGAGGCAGTGGCACGCACCTCCGCAAACTCTTTTGAAACTGTCCACAGTATGTTAAAGCATTTACATAAGTTAAATTTGATTAAATTTTCTAACAAGCATCAACTCTGATAGACCAAAGGGTGTATGGAAGACGAACGACCCAATATATTAAATATCATTAATTTTAATTGACAAGAAGATCTCTATTTCTTTGACTACTTCTGAATTTTGTTCTGTGGGAAGTATCGCAATAGTGTAGTGAGCTAGTTTGGTCATCATGGATCCGGACCAAGATCGTTGAATAGCGACTAATCGACTCCGACGAAGAGTTCGACGTGCGAATTAGCCCATAGATACCACCCACTGAGTTTCTTGCCGTATATTTTTAATAGGTCGCGATTCCGATCCGGTACTAGTGTTAGCAATTCTCTCAGGTTGAGCCCGTGAGCTCACCTACCGGTCCGCGTGAACTTGGAATAGCCCTTTAAGCTACCAACGATTAGGTGGAAGAAAAAAAATAAAACGACTAATAGACTTATCTGAATACATCATTAGATTTAACTTAACGATTACAATTGACAATGCTTTTTTTTGTTTTCGTTGCAATCTGTATATCCATAGGTACAATAAATAAGTCGACAGTTACAAATCGTTGATAAGTTGACTACTAATAACTCAGTTTGACAAACTTATAAATAAAATTTCTAAGGTGTTGTTAATATTTTGCTTGTTAAAGAGTTTGTTTCAATAATCGCATCAAAGTTTACATGTGCCATAATTACCATATTAAAAATTTTAAGGTACATAACGCGGGTACCCAATGCTCACCAAACATTTTAAGCGCTTGTATCTGAAAATTCTGTTATGATTTAAGTTTTTTTTTTGTTTTATCTGCGCCTCTAAATTTGATACTCGAACGCTTTTATCATCGTACCGCCCGCCATCGGAGTAGAATTCATCCATACTACCTAGATCTACTGAGTTCATCCACAGTGCCTTTCCAAAAATCTTTTTTGCCACGTATCATCCGGCTTTGGAATGAACTCTTATGCAGTGTTTCCTGAGCGTTAGGACTGAGCTTAGTAAAGTTAAAGTTCTTAATCTAGATTTTTTTCAAACACCTACCATATTGTAAGGGCGTCGAAGGCACTTCGTTGGTGGGAGTTCGGTCTGGGCTCAGATCGAACTCGTCCCCACCATGGACCTCCCCTCCAGCAACTGGAGCGGCGTCCGCACCCCCTCCCTCTGCTTCTGTCAAAATTGTAAATCTAAAGTAGATATTCCTTCCGAATTATATTCATATAAAATATTATTCATTATTATGAATATTGTGATGTGTTTATAGATTTGTTTTTAAATAGTATGTGAAGTGTTCATGTTACGGTTAAAGTGATTTTGAGTATCATTAATTATAATTACTTAAGCTTAAGTTTCATTTAGAGCTTCAAATAAATATCCGAGTTATTAAAATAAAGATAATTATGTATATTGGCTGGATTTTGCTTCGAAAACACCTTTGCTACCGGTTTTTTAATAAAATTTTATTGGTTTGTAACTTTTAATACTGCATCTATCACCTTAACAGTAACTTTTTGTTGATAGATAAAAGTCAAGTATAGGGTGCTATGTCTATAAAAACGTGCTGGGAGAAAGGGAAAGTAAGACACGAACTATCATTCTAACAGATTTTGGAATTATTATATCTGTTACTAAAGAGCCTACTAATAAAGAGATAAACGTGTGGAAGAATATACTCATAAAATATAAGGTCGTGGTATCTTCATACATGCATACTACGTGCTTATCTAAATAGTATTTGAATAAATAGTTTCATGTAATAATTGTGTTTGTGGACTGAGCTGTTATTTCTATCGTTCTCACCTATGACTGATTGTCAAGTTGTCCATATTTCTGTCAAAATGTTTAATAGTCAATGTTGTGTGTTTTTGTCAAGAAGGTGTAAATTTAATGAGGAAACCACGAATTATTGAAAGATTTGGAATAGAAAATAGACAGCTTCATTTGAGGAATTGTAGAACGAGTTTAAAGATAAATACACAATTTGTACAGTAAAAGATTGCTGTGACTGTATATGATGAGGTCGTCGAGATAAACTCACCTGACCCGGAAGCAGAGGGTGGCCGGTGCGGCGCGTCGCAACAGACGTCAGCATCGAGGCCACGCCCGCTGCCCTGCGCCAAGCGCCGCACCAGCGGACCAGTCACAATGTGAGATTTAAACTAGCTACGGTCTACGTACGCGAATATAATAATTTGCCAATAACCCCAAATGAAATCTAAAGGTTCCAAAAATTCCTACCAAGGAACTAATTTCGAATTTTGAAAATTTCTCGAATTCTAGCTAAGCTTCGTGGTTGTGGATGGGGACCTATAACTCAAAATACTTTGATCCTATAGCCTAATAACGTCTATTCTGAATCTAATCGTAGTTCATTTAGTAATTAAGTTTATTGAATAAACTCATAATTAGGGGGTCATGCAACACTACATGCATTATCTGTTAACGCTAGATTGTAAAACATGCTTTAGATTCGTTATATTAGATACTTGGACTATCACTGCGGCTCTTATACTATTTACTACACGTACGTAAAATTAAGGATATTCTAACACATTCTGAATACACATCGTTCAATTAGAGTTAGGTATGTAGTGTTGTGTGAAATATAGAGGTATGTAATTATTGCCTATCACAAGTTTAGAGTAGTTTGGAAAATTTCTACTGAACACACTAATATGATATTCACCTGGTCGTCAGAATTGGTGGGGGTAGGTTTATTGTCTTCGCTGCCACTATCTGAGAACTCTTCTTCTAATAGTGGTTCTAGTCTTCTTCTAAAAACATCTCTAAAATCGCAAAAATAATCATTTTTTCGAAGTCTCTTTAAGGTTTAATCAAACATGTTATTTGTTACCAAGCATACCTTGGCAGCAAAGGCCTTAAAGTGGTAGGTCCAGTTATAGTGGGCGCCATCAGAAGTTCATCCATCATTAGCTCTGTATCGTCATCTCCCGCATATGAAGATGACGACTTTGTTGGCGACTGAAAAGGTTAGTAGGTTTCCGCTCAAAGGGTTTTAAGCTATTCTAACTTTTCTACATCAAATCTAAAAAGAAGATTTATATCTTCTTATACTTTATAGTATACGAAGCGAAGAGAAACTCAGCGTGAACTAATATGTAGTATTAGATAGTGATAATAAAAAAAATGAATAAACAATCTTGAATAAAAAAAATTATAAGTAATTTTCGCAAATAAACAATTTTTTTAACTGGTACTACCGAAAGAGTTCCATGATCTGAATCTGGTAGGTTATCAGACAAGTCGCCTGATGAAGGTGTACCCCAAGCTTCTTCGCCGCTAGCACCGCTCCCTTCGCCGGTTTCTCCAGTACCCTCTTCCGTTCCGATTGTCGATTTCCAGTCACTGACCCCGAGACACCTATCAGACATACATTATACATACTGTACGAAAACGGTGTATGTAATTTTTTACGTTGAAACTATTTATTAAAAAAAAAAATTTAGTTAATAAATGTATACTAAAAAGATACTTCTATAGTTTGAAATAATCTATAATATTTTTTTTTTTTCAAATCTAAGTACTACACGCTTAAGATAGATCTATATGTTAAATTTAACACACATAACAAAAAAAACGCCTATTTTTATTATATATTTAAATTTAAAGTATTCCAAAAAGTATTTCCATTTAAAGGATCCTACTTAGTGGTTCTACGTTCTAATTGTCTGAAATCGGTACAGAATAGCAAAATTGCAACAAACGTTAATGCTTTATTTATGTAAAGTTACCTACTTAAATGTTCACTAGTATAGTATTCGTATAACTATCGATAGAGTATAAAAAAACCACATTAAATCATCTATTTAAATATATTTGATACATTATTATTTGACATACTCATCGCTGCGTACTTTTCAACTGGATTATTGTCTTCCACCTAGTTATTAAGAAAATGATTAACAAACTATAAAATTTTGACCAAGATTGAATCAGAAAATGAATTCTTTAATTTTAAACACGGTATGTACTGAAGTTATTATCAACAAAATTGTATATTCAAACACAAAAAGGAATCCTTTTTTTTACAAAGATTGCGGCTTTTTGGATTATATATAATTATATTTTAAGCCATACATACCTTTCCAAGAATGATGGTTGTTTGTGTGCTACAGCAGTATTGGGTACACTTTCGGTATAACTAAATATGTTCATTTTCTCAACTACAAATGAGCCTGCTCTTGCCGTCCAGCCCATTATACCTCCGGCAGCTCCAACTACTGCAATAAAAAACAATTTTACCGAACCAAAAATACAAACAGCCTTATTTTGATATTTTATCTAATCTTTATCTAGCAAATTCTATTACTCTAGCTCTCGAATAGTGGCAGTTGCAATTAACATATTGTGTGTAATGTAAAAATTGTTATTTGTATGTTGGTTGGTTGGTTTATGGTTTAACCAATGACGAATTCATCACGAGTTCTTACATTGCAAACTGTGTTATTAGTAAATAAATAATTATATTATTATATTTTAATATTTAACTTTCTTTATCACCTGTACTATTTGTTTTAATTGCTTCCGGTTCTTGTGCAGTTAATCTAACGTTACCATCATCAGTTTCGTCGGATGGTAATCTCTCAAGGCTAGACATAGTGCCATACCTGAAATCGTTCAAATGCATATCAATAAAATTTAGCCATATATATTTGGGTACTACATTTTATCTTTACCTTTTAAGTGAAACATAAGGTAGATCTTCAGGGATATCTGGGGAGTCCGGCGATTCATCTAAATGGTCATCCTGTGAATATTATCTTTGTTTTATATGCTGTTCATTTTATTAACCATACTACCAAGTTAATTGTGTGTGTTTAACTTACAGTCTTATTAGAAAAATTGAAGTCTGGTGTCGGTGGCACAACAGCTATATTAGGAACTGGTGATTCCGATTTGATCGAGCATAGACTCCCTGGTCTTGAGCTTGGATTATGGCCAGCAGTTACAGAGGATCTATTAAATGGTTCTACTCGCATTAAATGTGCAGTCGGATTGATAGCTGACAGTCCCATTAACATGAGAGGTCCTAGTTCTAAATCTTCATCGGACCCTGCTTCGGATGTGTTCAAGTTAACGTTCGAGTCAGATTTCTCAGTCTTATTAGTTATATCGCCATTCATTTTACTAAGAACTGATGTACCCATTCTTGGAGATCTTCTTAGACCTCTTTCTATTTTGAAATCGATATCTTCTTCATGTATAGAGTCATCATCCAAAAAAACAGATGATGTTTGTAAGCATGATCCAAGGTTTTCTCTTTTGGCAACGATGTTCATTCCTAAAACCTTGTTAAGCACGTTTTCGGCCTTCTGCCTCGTCAATTGGTCTTCTTTGGCAGAAGTCGGCTCCGCGTGATTCGTTGATGCTCTAGTTCTAGTAACTGTAATGTTTTCCACGCATTTTACTTCATTGATGTATTTTTCCTGAGCTATCACGCACTGTACCTGGTTCGCGATATTTGAGTTAGACATTCTTAGATCATTGGAGCTTGAATTAAAAACCATAGAACTACAAGTAGTGTGGCTTGTAGATAAAGGACTGTTTCTACTACTGGACGAAGGACTCGGAGTCCTAAATGAGCCGTCTTTCCTTAGTTCTAATTGACTTTTAGTTTGACTTCTTGAGCGTATGCTTCTATTTAAAATAGGTGAGTCGGTTTTTAATTCATAAGATTTCGATTTGAGCATTCTCTGACTTTGCTCTATAGAATCTATGACTTTCATGGCTGCTTTTGGACCATCCTCTGGACGTAATTTAATAGCACCTTTCCGTTCCAACCCACAAATTATTTTCGGTTTCCGAATACTGTAATTTGCGCTGCATGGACTTCTCGAGCTTTTCGTTGAATTTGAATTTTGTGGCGAAGCTTCCTTTTTTGGTTTAACCGGAATTACGGGGGGCTCTTTCTGGGAAATTAATGGACTGTTCGGTTTTGATAGGCATTTTTTATGGCATTGCCTACAAACTGGAATTGTATCGACTACTACAGGACTAGTTCGAACTGTTATCTGAAAAGGAAAACGCATTTTTTAATAAACGTTACTTTTTGAATATAGTTAATACTTTATAGACCTGCAGGCAGCGGCTTAGTTATGTCCTCGACGTTATTGATGTTCATGTATCTGTGAGCACTCACTGCTAGTTGGGCCGTAGGATCGACTGCTTTCAAAGGCAACAAAAACATTGCTTACTTGGCTACCAGAATTACTACTTTTCGACGGACTTCTATCATTTTCTTTTTTCTCACTCGGAGAAGCTCCTTTACTTTCATGATTAACGACGAGTTCGGCTACTTCAAGTAGATTAAGCTCTTTTGATCTCTTTCTTAACTCTTCTACACTCCATGTCTGTAAATTATAGGCGTGTTGATTCGAGAGCTATTATAGACGGTTCATCATATTACGTTTTGACAGTGACTTATTTACTTCTACATCCGGTTCCGGTGGATCCAGTTCTTCAGTTTCGGGTAACTGCGTCATCCACCTTTGCAGGTGTTGTGAAGAGCCTTTGCTTCTTATACTTCTAGCTACATCCACTGCACTCCCGCCAGCGGCTGTTTGAGTTTCGGCTGAGCTTCGTCGCGTCTAAAACGATGGAGACGAAGTTTAACGATTTGCATGAATTCTTTGCATTGATTATTATTATAGGCTTTTTTGTTATTAAATCGTAACAGGTGATGTGGATATTCGTAAATTATATTTAATAAAATTGAAAAAATCACTTACCGCGTTCGAATAGACATAATTGTTAATGGGAGTGACTGCGACGTTATTTCAAATTAATTATTTCAATGAAAGATGGTAGTCATTTTCAATTAAAATATGTAATTTCTTCGTTAGCGTCGCAAAACTTAATAATCAATAAAAACCTTAATTCACAATTGATAAAATCACTTTATTTACGGATAGTTAAAAATGTACTGAATCGATCTAAACACAAACATTCAACATTAATGAATCCATTCCTAAATTCAGTACTGTTACGTCACACTGAATCAATGAATTAGAAGTAAAATATCGTCTCAAAATTATATATTATATTTTTTCAAATCGTTATAAAGAGTTTCATTAAAAATTACACACAGTCCGAACATCAAAAAAATTGAGCCAAACTATGAAATCGATTTATAAAAATCAGAAATACAACAATCATCCCGAAAATATTATGTAGGTAATGTGAACATTTTGCGATGCTAGCGTCACAAACAATTCTAATATCATCTCGAAATACAACTGCATTTACATTTATTTATCTAAAAACGATTTTACACTAATAAAAAGCATTAAACAAAAATTTTAATTCACATTTCATTAAAACGGCTACCATTTTTCATTTCTTTACATTTATACTAATGGCGATGAGTACTAAATTTAAAAGCGACAGTTGAAATTGCTCTATAGGTCTAAGATGTACTCTACATGATCTCATAGTACGCGAAGCAGATCGCCAAATATCCACATGACCTGTACAAGTACGTACGGACTCCCAATCTCCTGTACGTATTACAACGCCTTTACCGCTAACATCGTTTTCGAACACCCACTAAATATTCAGCTTATAGAAAAAAATATAAGTAAACTTATAACGCATATACATCGAAATGAAAAATTTCGAATTTCATCTTAAGAAAAGGACGGAAGACTTACGAAGCAAAATTGTAACACACTCGAAGAAGTTAATACATACAAATATTTTCTACTGTTGGTACCCTATAGTTACATTTTGACACAGAATCCTATTTAATAAAATATTGGCATGTAATACATGTATTGATTAACACTAAAGCGACTTGTATAATAATACCCCATTGATCATATAGACTCGATTTAAGTTCAAAGATTATAATTTGCTAATTTTTTGTTACATCATAAGTGGGTATCAGACTTATAATTACACATTTAACTACAATAATCAAAATAAGTACTCAGATTTCTTATAATACTGCTAAAGTTCGAAAATATGTCTCTCAAAATGTTTTATTTACCACAACCTTTATCTTGACGATAAGCATTTCTTTAACAATCAAACAAATTTTGATGTCACCACCATCGGCCAGTCTACACAATGAAAGCTTTATGATTTCAGTGCTGCCCGCTGACCTCACTTCCTAAACACCAACTATGCAAAACTAGGAGAACACACCCTTCACGGCTTAAGAGATTAGAACCCCTTTAGGTTTCTATCTGCAATGGTTTTCGTATATCCGGGGGAAGCACGAATCTGCAAGCTCCGGATCTGACTCCGCAGATCAAAGTTCCAGATAAGCGGGCGGTGTCGGCCGTTCCGGTAGAGCCATTTTGGGTAAAAGTGGATCATCAGGGAGAAATATACGTTCCTCAACCGCATGTTTGTACGACGGATCTACATCTAAGTCAGCTAAAGCCAGATCAGCTTCAAACGATTCCCATCTACATGGAGAGCATTCGGAGTAATCCTCTCCCCCATCTGGAGTTAGTTGGGCGCTGGGAGAAGTAGGTCTTTCATCGTTTTTCTCAATGCTTGATGTTGACACAAAGTGAGAGGAAAAAGTCTGAGAATCACCCGGAGATAGATTGGCCGATGGTGTTTCAGGCGTTGGAGTTTTTCTCCAAACTGTACTGAGTGGTCCCCTGCATGGACGAGGAGTAGGAGAATCAGAGCTGGTCCTAACGTCAAAGCTAACCCTGACTTCTTTTTCTGGTCGCTCTTCTACCAACATATTGATATGGGACCTGTATGAGCTGGCCGGTAGAAGAGCAAGACTGGAATGTCTTTGTATGCTGGACGCAGATACCTGACGCAGCTGCGAGTCGAGGGTAGCAAGGGAGAATGTAAGCTGTGGGTCAGGAGAATCCAGCGGTGAGCCCAACGGAGTACCGGACATGGTATGCGCTCGATATCTGAAAGAAATTTTCAAAGGAATACGTTTAATCAACAAAATTTTCCCATGAGTTGTTGGTTGATATTAAAAATATTGATCTTACATCTGCCTTTGTAGTAGGCTTTGCCAAACAGCTTTCAAGTCTATCGATGGTGCTCGAAGAACCAATGTACGTGTTCGACCTGGAGTGCGAGGAGCACACGACACTAATGGCGATTCTCCTCCTACGCGACCCAAGATTAGACGAAACTCCGTTACTGGAATGAAAATGATTAAAAAAAATTAGGCACTTGCTAAGGTAAGGAAAAAATCAATATGGAGGTAACAATGAAAAAAAAAAAAAAGATAATAGGTACGTCCGGTGTATCTAGCGATGTACCGGTGTTCGAATCCCGCAGGCGGGTACCAATTTTTCTAATGAAAATGGACTTCTTAAAAAATGTTCACGATTGACTTCCACGGTGAAGGAATAGCATCGTGTAATAAAAATCAAAACCCGCAAAATTATAATTTGCGTAATTATTGGTTATAGGACCTCTTGTGAGTCCGCACGGGTAGGTACTACCACCCCGCCTATTTTGCCGTGAAGCAGTAATGCATTTCAGTTTTAAGGGAAGGGCAGCCGTTGTAGCTATACTGAGACCTTAGAACTCATGTCTCGAGGTAGGTGGTGGTATTTACGTTGTAAATGTCTATGGGCTAACCACTTAGCACCAGGTGGGCTGTGAGCTCGTCTCGATAGGTATCTTAGCAATGAATAAAAAAGATACACCTCTTCTTATCAGCCCACCACTGCTGGACATAGGCCTCCCCCAAGCCTCGCCACAAATACCGGTCCTGCACTGCCTGCATCCAGCGGATTCCCGCGAATCTCGTTAGATCGTCGGTCCAGCTTGTGGGAGGCCTACCCACGCTACGTCTTCAGGTACGCAGTCACCATTCAAGAGCTTTCTGGCCGTAGGGAATAAAATAGAAAGTTCCTCACCTTTTTTTCTTAGATTAAACTGTGCTTCAGACACGGCCCCCAGAGCGACAGGCTCCTCCGTTACGAACAGCACTCTATCACGCGAGACCGTCGCAAACAGTAGGAGGTCACTAAACAACAGTGCCCAGTATGGTCTGACTGCGCGACCTTCCACCCTAGAGAGCTCGCCTCCAAATATCCACTGACGCCCAGCTGTGCTTAGGACGAATGGCTGTAAAAAATAAGATTGGTATTTAAAACAAGTCAAATTAATCTTTAATCTATAATTATATAAAAACGAATTGCTGTTCGTTAGTCTCGCTAAAGCTCGAAAACGGCTGGACTGATTTGGCTAATTTTGGTCTTGAATTATTTGTGGAAGTCCAGAGAAGGTTTAAAAGTTAGATAAATGAATGAAAATGCTTGCTAAATAACAATTTTGTTTTTCCTTTGATGTGTCGTCCGTAGGACAGATTCCTTTTGTTTATTTTAAGTTTATTTTATACAAAAGTTTAGGTCTTTTATTTATCGATTAAGGCACTACGAAGTCTGCCGGGTCAGCTAGTTTAATTATAAATATGGTTCCCATTTTATAAATCCACAAACAAACATAAATTAGTAGGAGTTGTTGTTACTCACCTTACACCTAGTGAACACGAGTCTGCTTTCTAAATCAGCAACTGACAGCAGGGGCTTCCCATCACCAGCCAGCCCCATCAGCCCGGAGCCAGCGGTGACATCTTGATAGCTACCCTGGAACAGTGAAATATCGTACAGCTTGCTATGAAAGAATATCTCCAAAAGCTCTCCGACAAATTTTTTTGTCTAAACTAGACTTTGAAAGATCCTATATAAGATGAGAAAGTATTTGAAATCATTGCATTAGAAATTTTAATGAAACTAAGTTTTCCTTGTACGGATATTTTTTTGGATATACTACGTCAGCAGCATGTTAAGTATTAATGGATTTTTTTTGCTTAGATGGGTGGACAAGGTCACAGCCCACCTGGTGTTAAGTGGTTACTGGAGCCCATAGACATCTACAACGGTAAATGCGCCACCCACCTTGAGATATAAGTTCTAAGGTCTCAAGTATAGTTACAACGGCTGCCCCACCCTTCAAACCGAAACGCATTACTGTTTCACGGCAGAAATAGGCGGGGTGGTGGTACCTACCCGCGCGGACTCACAAGAGGTCTTATCACCAGTAATAACGCAAATTATAATTTTGTGAGTTTTGATTTTTATTACACGATGTTATTCCTTCACCGTGGAAGTCAATCGTGAACATTTGTTGAGTACGTATTTCATTAGAAAAATTGGTACCCGTCTGAGATTCGAACACCGGTGCATCGCTCAACATGAATGCACCGGACGTCTTATCCTTTAAGCCACGACGACTTCAAATTAAATCAGTTTACCTGTAACTGTTCTACAATCAACTGGAGTTGCTTCTTCTCGAGCTGATCGTAGGGACCAGCGCCGGTGGCAGACGCGGCTGTTCGCATTAACCTCAACAACTCTCTGAACTGTTCTAGAGGCTTGTGAACTAGGGACGTGATGTCTGGTCTTCTACGGGGTATCGGAGGACTGGTGCAGAACCGGGAAAATGCTCCGCTGGGGTCTTTTGATTTCTTCACCTGATGAATAAAGTTACTAATTATTATTCTCAGGGTTTTCAAACCGTTACTTATATGCAAGCCCGACCTCTTCGATGCTTTCTTCGGACTAATCCTATATTGTTATCAAAACACTTCGGTGAATATAAATGTAGGATTGTTAAGAAGAGTATTAAGCGGAGATTAAGAAGAGTATTAAGCGGTAGGCAGCGGCTTGGCTCTGCCCCTAGCATTGCTGAAGTCCATGGGCGACGGTAACCACTCACCATCAGGTGGGCCGTATGCCCGTTTGCCTACAAAGGCAATAAAAAAAAATAAAAAAAAGGAACGTATTAAAAGTATTGAAATGAGTGTGGAACGGAGCGTTAAGATGTGACTGAGAGAAAACGGAAAGAAAGGGAGAACAGAATGACAGAGAAAAAGGAAGATGGCGAAGACGGTTAAAAATGAGCAAGGCGTAATAAAAGTGTTAATTAATTTTTAATTATACCTAGCTGACCCGGCAGACTTTGTAAAAACGGAGACCTTAGAAGGCAGAGTGGTGGCATTTATGTTGTAGATATCTATGGGCTCCGGTGACTAATTAACATCAGGTGGACCATAAGCTCGTCCACACACCCAGGCAATAAAAAAAAACCATAAATAGAATATTTATTGAAAGAAATAAATTGACATACCAACACACAATCGGCCCTCTTCAGTCCAAGGCAGTATTTCTTGTATAAGCTGAGAAATACGGGCGTTTTTTGCAAGTAAACGGCGACCACTGTAGACGTCTGAATCTCACCGTCGTCTTGCACCACTTGATCCAGGATGTCTTCTGAGAGCCGAAATATCTGTAACATGTAATGGATATTTTATCATATTGACGGATTTGCGTGCGAGGTTTGTACTTAGGTTGGCAAAATAAGTGTCTTCATTAGTCGTACTTACTAGTACTACTAGTAAATGCCACTATTAGGATTACACAGCATCATAAGTCTATATTACATGTAACTTATTTGTCTTATTTATTTACTACTAGCTTTTGCCCGCGACTTCGTCCGCGTGGAATAGTTCAGAAATAATGTTTTATTTTAGAACAAATTTGGTTAGCATAAAATACCTTATAGTGAGCCAACCTTAACATATAGATATATGCTGTCATAAACATTTTTTTAGATCTTTTCAAGGGGAACAATTCTCTAATACATTATTTTAGCGAAATTTTAACCGTTTCTGCAGCGCACGCAGCGGAAGCTCTGAAAAGGTAAAAATAATCCCGATTTTGAAACATTCTTTATTGGTGCTCTTGCGTGTGTGGTCTTAGCGTGAGCGTTATACAGCCTTCCTCGATAAATGGGCTATTTAACACTGAAAGAATTTTTCAAATCTGACCAGCAGTTCCTGATATTAGCGCGTTCAAACAAACAAACTCTTCAGCTTTATAATATTAGTATAGATTATTTATTAAGATAGATAGATAATAATAAAAACATTCTCTGGACCACGCAACGGTTATGACATGTTCTTCTGAAGATTGAAGATGAAGATTACTACTACATCTACCTTCTTCTACTACAATCTACCTTCTTCAAATGAAGTGCGAAAAAATTGGTTTTCAGAAGTAGTGGCTTAGTTGTGTCTCTGTTATTGCTCATAATATTCATAAGCGGGAGTGGCCATCGACCATTAAGTTGATAATACGGTCTACCTCCAAAATCAGTAATAACAACACTACCAGAGAAGATTAGGAAATAAATAAAAAAATTGTAAAAAAAAACTAACAAAATCCGCTTTTATAGAAGATCCAACTAAAAAATAGAAAATAAATTTTAATAAATTTGAATTAAAAATTGTGTAAGAAAAAAATATTTTATACTTAATAATTACGCTATTTTACAATAAAATCATTTCTTTTTACACTATTTTTAATTCAAATTTATTAACATTTATTTTCTATTTTTTAGTTGGATTTTATATAAAAGCGTATTTTGTTCGTTTTTTTAAAGTATGATTTATTTTTCATTTTTAGTTCAATTTAAATGTTTTCAATTTTTTTAAATATTGAATTGTCATCGGTCCTTAATGAGTATATCAAATTTCGAGTTAATCCGACGTTTTGAAGGGGGTCAAAATCATCCATACGTCTGAAGCTAATAAAAGCGTAGGTAATAATGATTTATTCTCTTCTCATTAACGGAACTTCCAACATTAGACATTGTATTCCTCACCTCTTCCAAGTTTTGAAATAGCAGCTGGTGGTCGCTCGGTGTGATGAGGTCTGCCCTTTCTGCTAGTGGCGACACGAACCTCACTAGTCCGAACTGGAGGCACGTGGCATAGTGCTGCTCCCTGGCTACCACTGCCAAGAGTGCCCGTTTCCTCCCATCTCTTGACAGTCCTGGGGTCTAAAAATTATACGTCAATGAGATAGGACGTTTTTCTTAGCAAGACGTATTGTAATCTTGCACGTACTCTTTTTTTTGTTTGGAAGGAAGTGTTACTGGTGGTCCAGAGGCCTTTCCAGTTTCACGAGACCTGGACGAGCACGGACTCAGCCAGGAGGTGCACGCATCCTTGTGGGAGGTTCGACCCCCAAAAAAAAGGAGGTGCACGCATTCTGACGACTACCTCGATATATAATTAAGATCACTAAATCGCGTCCAATACCTAATTTTGAGTGATCTTGCATCGCACGCTGTAGTCATTTTTGCAATTCCATTGCTCAGTTTGTATAATAAAAAAATGCTCAGTTACGTATACAAGTAAGTATACAGCTCATATATTGTCTATATTCTTCGGTAGAAGAAATGCCGCGAAGTGTATCTACGGGTTTTAAGCGTGGGACAGCTTTTGATAATACAGTTAGGTATTAAGACTCTTGTCTGTAGGTGTGTAGTGTTATCTGGCTTAAGGGTGTTGGCAACCACTTAATATGAGTTTGGTTGACAGCTCATCTGTCTAATTACAATATTTAAACTTTTTTCCAACAAATTTTAGTCATGTTTTTATTGATCGCTTTATTTCTTAATCTCTACGTGGTTATGTTAAATCTAGTGTTTGTATTTTCAATATATTATTTCCGACATTCTGAATACTTTTCTTGAATATTCTTTGAATCATTTGTATGTTCTGCTTACTACCGTCTATTTTTCTAAAAAAAAGTACCCATTTCGATACTTTTACGTTAAAATGAAAAGTAAATGAAACAACTAAAATAGTTTAAAAAGTAGTTTAAAATTATGTCTACAAGACACAAAAACCGAAGAAAATACTGTTACGCCGGTAAGAGTAACGCCATCTGTTGTCAGATAGCGGAAACACGCATCGTACATTCGATGTGTGTGACTTGTGGAATATTCTCGACGATTCTAGGGATTTCGTCTCGACTATAAAAGCGTTGCAGAGATGGCACGCAGTCAGTTAGTAATCGGATCTACTCGAAGCGAAACAGCGAACTGATCACCTGAAGCGAAACGTAAGAAATGAACTGAGAATTTTAAAGTGCTTGTGAAGTGTTCTAAGTGTTGAATACAGTTTTTAATTTATACTTCGGTGGAATTTTATTTATCCCGAACCCCAGCGCGTAACAATACCATCAGAACAATGTATAATATATTTCTTTAGATTTAGCCATTCTAGTCGTAAAATTTCAATGACGTAGCCCAGAGGCGAGAAAAATTTTGTTGTTCTAGCATCAAATGATCTTAAATTGAGGAGAAATAATATAAAATAATTCCTAGTAGCTTTGTATCTGATTGTGATTTTTACACACCTTTAATACTTTAATCTGTATCTATCTATGCAACGCGATTTCTATTCTATCAGCCCACAGACGTCCACTGCTGGGCATAGGTCTCCCTCAAGTCTCACCACAAAGATCGGTCCTGCGCTGCCTCCATCCAGCGGATCCCCGCGAACCTCAATAGGTCATCGGTCCATCTGGCACTTCGATAAAGCGGCACGACATGAGAATCCTCTCATCGTGGCCGCCGGAAACTACATAGCCGATCCTGCGGCCCAAATGGTAAACAGTCGACGTGGCCCTAAACATGTCATTTCGGTTCCTCACGATCCACTAACGGTGCTTTTAGGTACCTCAAGCACCGGTCATCGTTCTCGTCGAACCCGTCGCTTGTGACGAAGGGCTCGGTGAGTAAATTAACCCACAGACACAGTACACTGAGTTTCTCGTCGGATCTTCTCAGTGGGTCGCGTTTCCAATCCGATGGTAGATTCTGCGAAGCACGGGTCTTGCTAGGGCTAGTGTTAGCAACGTCGTCAGGTTTGAGCTAGAATAACCCCCCAAGTTACTAGAATAGGTAGGAAAAAGAAAAGGTCCGTCTTGTGGAAGGCCTACCCACGCTACGCTACGCTACGTCTCCGGTAAGCGGTCCCAATTCAAGAACTTTCCGGCCCCAACGGCCTCAAGATGTGCCTTATGAGAAGGCTCTAGGTCACTCAAAGAGTAATGGAGAGTCTAAGCTAGGCTAGGCTGGTAGGTCAGCTCCCGGGGCACAGCCTGAGAGTTTGCTAATACTGGCCCTATCAAGAGCAGTGCTTCGTAGAATCTACCACCGGATCGGAATCGCAACCCACCGAGAAGATCCAGTGAGTAACTCAGTGGGTGAGATTTGTATAACGGCTCAAAACCGGTACAAATGATCACATCGCGGCAGAAATATCACTAAAAACACGAAACCGACGTCCTTCTACGATGACTTTGTCTGTAGTGGGCTTATATAAGTGGTGAAGTAATTTGAATACAGATTACTTCGTATATTTTCGTTACAACTGTTTTCGAAGTATGCAGTGTAATAATTAAAAGAAAAGAAAAGAAAAACTCAAACAAAATGAAAAGCAATAAAATTTTATTTGCACTTAAAATTAAAGAACATAAATGGAAAATCAAACAGAAATAAAATAAATTATAACAGGAAACAATTAAATTGTAATTGTCTGACGAAATTAAAATGTAACTAAATGAAAATTAACTTTGCGCGACTTTGTTTTTCTGTGACAGGATTATTTTATTATTCTCAGCTCAATTTTAAATCAATTCCTGTCAAATTGAATATAGAATTCGACAGTCACAGAAAAAAAAGCACGCATAGAACTAAAATTGGAATAATTATTAGAAAAGACAAAGGAAAAATGTAAACAAAAAAATCAATTAGTAAGTTGGTTAATAATAAACGATATACATAGTTTTTTGTCTCTTTCTTATTGTATTTGAAGCTGGCTGTCACCGAAAAAGACATACTGATGTATCTAATAATCCTGTGTTCCCACATTTATTACTACATGATTAACAAAAAATAACAAACACTCAGAGCTTAAACGTAAAGTTCCCCTTTAGACATAAAAGCACCTACTTAGTAGGCTTTTTATGCGTATTGTAATTGCATTATATTATAATACAGGATTTAATTCCTCGTAATTAATTTGCAAACGCTACTCGTATAAAAACTTACAAAATACAAAATTGGAATGTATCATGAAGTATATACATAATAAATAACAAATCATTTAAAATAAAAATAAAATGTACAGTTAACAAAGACGATTAAATAAATAAAAACGCTTGGTAATAAGTTAAAGTCATCATCAAAATGGACGCTTAATTGCTAAATAAAAGAAAAAAAAATAACACATTTACAGCGAACGAAAAAACCGTTCTAAATTCAAAAAGCTTCCGCAACTGAACGGCCCAAAACTAGCACCACTACAAGAAAGAAAAATAATTATTATAAGCCTCGAAATTTCCAAATTCAAACAGATGACTAGTTTCGAAATTCGAACGATGAAACGTCAAACTATGATTCCATTACCGACCTCCTTCGAGAAGGTGACCTGGGGTAGGTGCAGTTTGCGGCGGTCCAGAGACTGGCTGGTCGAAGAGCAGGCGGTTGGGGGTCGCGCGGCCGTGGCGGGTGACGCCAGAGCGTTGCCCCGTGGTGACCGTGGTGGGGGTGGCGGTGTCGACTCTGGCGGGGGTATTGATACTTGGGCTAGCCTCGGTCTAACGCCGACTCCATTAGGCGGTACCCTTCTAAATGTCTCCAATTGGAGTATCTGGCCTGCGGACCTGTTACAAATGCAAATATTAGACAAATAATAATACATACTTCAAACACACAGCGACATTAAGCCAATAACTTAATTACATCTGTTACGGACATTTTTTTTTAAAAGTAAAAAATCTTTACCTTTTGATTAAATGGGTTTGTTTCAACACGCATACAGGTTTTGACTAGAGTTTAAATTAAATATTTAAAATAAGCCATTTATTATAATAACTCAAATATCCGACCACTCACTTCACAAGATTTCTAACTTCCTCTTCAGATGCTGTGACGACGTTCTTCGAGCCAACAAACACAATGTAATCTCCGGCTCTCAGTCCGGCTCTTTCTGCAGAGCCCCCTTGGGCAACCCTCTCGACTCTTGGTGGTCTGGTCCATACTACGGTGAAACCAAAACCACCTGCAGTACCCCTTAGGAGTCTGAAAGAAAAATATTTTGAGACTATAGTAAGACCAATGGATGGATATCCTAATATTATTGGTGTTAGATTTATTTAGGTAGGTTTGGTGGTCTGGTCTATACTACAGTGAAACCAAAGCCACCTGCCGTACCTTGGAGAAGTCTGAAAACATTCGATTTTGAGACCATAGTCAGACCAATGGATGGATATCCTAATATTGGTTATTTATTTAGGTAGGTGTTTTGATTTAAAATAAATTTCTAACTAAAGGATTGATGGTTAATACTAACTTTCTAGTTGTGGTGAACGGGGTTCTGCCATTCCGTTGGGGCCGTCTCGGAGCCGATGGATCATCCGGAGGGTCCAGCTCCAAGTATCGTAGGAAGAGGTGCTCGTCAGCTTCTCTTTGTAGTGCCGCGGCTACCGCTTGGGCCTGACTGGCTGTGGTCGCGGAGGGACCATTTGTAACACCTAAATTAGTTAAACAACAACTAGTTAATATTATTATTGAATAATTTTCGGCAAATGACTTTAGTGTTTTGGGATCGACCTGAATAAATAAAGGTATTTTGTTTATAAGTCAATATTTCACGGAAATCTCAACATAGCTACGCAATCCATCTATTTCTATATTTAGAAATTTCTATCACGTACAGTTGGGCGTAGCACTCGTTAATAAAGAAGAAGGAATTTTATTATACGTGCAAATCGTGACGAACCGTTTTAGAAATCGCCGCCACCACCCTGCCTATTACTGCTGTGAAGCAGCAGCGTTTCGGTTTGAAGGGCAGGGCAGCCGTTGTACTTTAAAAACTGAGACTTTAGAACTACTATCTCAAGGTAGGTGACAGCATTTACATTGTAGATGTCTATGCGCTCCAGTAACCATTTAACATCAGGTGCGTCGTGAGATCGTCCACCCACGTAAGCAATAGATAAAAAAAATTTAAAAAGAACCTTTATCGTTGTGGTTCTCTTTGGTTCCATCGTTGGTGCTGGTCTCAATGTTGTCGGTGGCCATCTTGGGTCGTTCGATTTCAGCTACACGATCGCCGGCTCTCTCATGTGCCAGCGGCGCAGCGTTGAGGCCACGCCCCGCGTTTTGCTGCAGGAAGTAGGTGCCCTTGATGTCGCACTCAATAGCATCTTTCAACTGGAACGAGACACATCCTAGGAACTCGCTCCGGCTGTGGACAAAGAGATGGAAATATCTGTAGAGAGTGCATCTAAAAAGACAGGATAGATGATGAATTGTGATGAAGATGATCACTTTTTTTTTTTGCTTAGATGGATGTGTTAAGTGGTTACTGGAGCCCATAGACATTTACAATGCGCCACCCACCTTGAGATATAAGTTGTAAGGTCTCAAGTATAGTTGCAACGGCTGCCCCACCCTTCAAACCGAAACGCATTACTGCTTCAGGACAGAAATAGGCAGGTTGGTGGTACCTACCCGTGCGGACTCACAAGAGGTCCTACCATCAGTAATCACGTAAATGATAAATGAGTGTAAGTTGAAAATGTTACGTGAATATTGTCGTCTATTAGTGGCTCTGGGTTCTAGTTGATAGAAATTAGTGAAGACATTGTTTCAGAGTCTACAGAAGTCCGAGAACGGGAGGTTTTTAAAGCATCGCTCGAAAGTTAATTCAAATAGGAACAATACCAAACAAATCTAGGACATGACAGTATTCTCTTCACTTATACGAGTTATAAAGCGGATAACATCACACACATGAACAATAGCGTTAGAGAGTTATAGCTTTTTTTCGAATTTTTTTACGAAAGATAAAAATCGTTAATAAAAATTAAAATAGAAATGATGCTTGTATTAAGTAAATTAATACAGTACGAGGAGTAATTAATAACCTTACACCCGTTTTTTATTTGGACAATCGTCTCTCGCTGATTCATTTGCATAATCAAAGTCGTAATTGATATCAAAGCTTTGCATTGTGTTATAGAAACACTCACGTTCATATACGTGCATTAAAAGCTCCTTATTCGCGCCTCCTTCATTTGCGTTTTTAGTATTGTCACGCGGATTAAAAAAAATCGACCTAATTCATATATTTGCGTCTAAAGATTTCTTTATTCGCAGATCTAATCGATACATCGGTAAAAACCGATTTATAAAAAGGATCTCAATAAGTAGGTACGCAACCAAATATCCTTTGTAAACGCGTCGCCAAATTGACTAATAAAAAAAGTAAAATAGATCTTATTAATATTAGTATGTTTTTATTTTGTCACCTAAGAACGTAACCCCTATAATCCCATATATGTAAATTACCTATCCAATTCACGTTTTCTGCATTCGCGGCATATTTGCCGAACATATACCAACCACCCTGCGAATAAAGAGCTTTTACTGTACTTAAACGTCCAATTGGGATCAGAGGGTGACCTACATAAATTTGTAGTACTGAGATCTTGATAAATTATTAATCACCTGTAATCACTTGAAATCGGATCTAAGCTAGTTTACGCGGTATTTTAAGTGGGCGGTATTCCTATAACCTAATTTACGCGGTATTCCTATAACCTAATTGCTTGGATATTTAACTGATTTTTTTTAAATTACTACATTCTTGTGCCCTTTATTAGCCTGGATTAATTATCTTTATTATTTAATCATTAATTTATGTTAATGTGTGTAACGTAAATATGACAATACGAATTTAGTTTCTAGAGTTTACCTCATAAGAATCGATATCACTAAGGCCCGGTATGACAATTTCATAGCAGTAAAATCGAGCGCTGTCAAAAAAGCGTGCTTTTTCGATCGAATAGAAAAAAATACCATAATTTTTTTTATGGCCCATCCATCACCATCGCTCATAGACCTCAGCAGTGCCAGGGGCCAAGCCGCTGCCTACAAAACTTAAACATCAGATAGTTTTGTATTAGATTGGCACGCCCCATCCAGCTTTAATCCAGTACTACTTTAATGCAGTCTACTTGACACTTCTATTTTATTACATATTCAGTTATTATTTAACACGTGAAGTGTGAACTTTGTAGTACCTCTTTTTACGAAAATTGCGCGGACGGTGGAGTATGAAATTTCCCACACTTATAAAGAATACAGAGAAGGAGTGCACAATGTAATTTTTTTTAACTATACATAAAAATACTGTATGTATTTGCCACACACACGCATGCATTCTATTTGTTTATTGTCAAACTTTTCTTATTGCGTATAGTCTCTGGTCAAATTGAGAATAGGGTACATATTGTTTGTCTTTATTAATATTTAGTGTAGTCTTGGCTAAATCTGTGATTATAGAAGTATTATAGTCTTTGACAATACAATCATAATAATGTACATACAAACTTATAATTTCAATTAATTATAGTCGAATTTTGATTACCGGGGGACCACTAGTATTGAGTTAATATCGTTAATATACTAAAATTTTACATGGACGACTAATTGACATGTGTCTAGCGTAAGATTTTTGCTACATGATCAATTTATTTTCTAGTTGATAAGAAGCGTGATAATTGTTTTAGAAATTAAGAAGAAATTCATTTTTTTAAATACGTTTATCAATTTCAATAATCATGTAGTCCAAGTTTATAGAAGCTACTTCAAAACTTGTTTAGCTGTTATAAATAAATGAATTGATACAAAAAAATGAAATAAACGGACTGATACTCATATAATATGAGTCGAAAAGTAAATAGCTGATAATTGAAAGATTTTTAATTTAAGTTTTAATGTGAAACGAATTTAATATAAACTAGAATTTTATCATCATCCAGTAGCCAGTATTATTGTTCAAAATAGGCATGTTTTATTGATGGCTATTTGATAACACCGAGAACTTTTATTCATTTAGTACATCAACCGCCTTTCGTTATTTGAAGAGCAGATTGAAATGCGTCCGACAATATTCACTTAAAACTGTTGTTATGAAACTAATAAATAACTGTAACTATACTGAGACCATAGAACTCATATCTCAAGGTGGGTGGCGGCATTTACGTTGTAGATGTCTATAGGCTTCAGTAACCACTTAAAACCAGGTGGGCTGTGAGCTCGCCCACCTATCTAAGCAATAATAAAAAAAAAACAGTAAAAGTGTCAGTAAAATTCCTTCTTCTAATTTATAACTTTCGGTAAGGCCAGACGTCTTTTAGACATCGGACGTAGGTGTACACGACGCGGATGATTCATCAAGAAAATGGACGCCCTCAATTCATTATGACACCGTGTAGTGACCTACATGCATAATGTGATAGTTTGCAGTTAAGTACCATGGGAACTGGAAACGAACGTTATTTGGATAGATGACTTTTTAAAATCTCAATTTAAACAATGCCATACCGCTTTCTAGCGAAATAGTTGGACTACATCGTAATTGGAAGACCTCAATGAAAATTATTTAAGAAATTTGTTCACCAATGAAATAATCGTAATTGGAAGACCTCAATGAAATTATTTTAAAAATTTGTTCACCAATTAAATAATCGTAATTGGAAGACCTCAATGACAAATTATTTAAGAAATTTGTTCACCAATTAAATAATTTAGCATTCAAAAAAAAATCATGAACAATGTGACTCTTGTTAGCTTTCTTCGTTCACAATTCAATGAAACTATTTGAAAGTAAAAGTTAAGGTGTAACATTACAAATAGTCTTGCGTGTTCTCATTAGCATAGCAACATAAATAACTTCGCCTTAAAGGGAAAGTTCGACCGACCTTGCGCTGGGGTGAAACTGATAATTCCACAACCTCGAAAAAATGGTGCCTGCCAAGTTTTTCAGTTTGCATACTAAATGATAAATTGGTGTTATGCTGTTTCCGTCAAATTAACAATGTTAAGTATTTTGCCCCAGTTTAGCTTTCTTCTGGTTGGTGTTAGATAGCAAATACCAACCAATTATGTTGTGGGTGTGACGGAGGATGCTACGAATACCGTGGACTGCCATGAGAACAGACGAGTCCATTCTAAGGCAGCTAGACATCCGAAAAAGGCTCCCTTCCATCTGCCGGGAACGTGTTATGAGCTTCTTCGGACACATCATGCGGTCTCCCAGACATGAATTAGAGAAGCTCATAATTACGGGTCGCATAGAGGGCAAGCGCGCCGTGGGCAGAACACCAGCCAGATGGTCAGATCTAGCAAGAGAAGCACTCGGTGGTAGTCTGTACCATGCAGTCCATGCCACCCATGATCGGGTGCATTGGAAGTACGTCGCATGTGGTCGCGATCCTCAGTAGTGAGGGAACGATATAGAAGAAGACCAATTATGTTTAAGCTGCTAATATGACAATTATGTTATTACAATTTTTTAAATTCATATAATTATAATAGTCGCTCAATTACTTTATGAAAAAGAACAAAAGTACTGACTTATTTCTAGTGGAACAAAGAAAACGCCAGTCCTTATTGATTTTTAAATTTATTTAATACCGTCGCTACTTCATTGAGCTTGTTAATAATTAATTGCACCAAACTAGACTCAGATTCCATATAGGTGATTTAATGCGTCCTACTCAATCAAATCGCCAGTTAATAGCTTTAATTTCCTCACCGAAATTGGAAGGATATTGATGTAATGTCGATTGGGCTATTTTAATCGGTGATACTGGTCTCGTTTGCGAGCTAATATTTGTTCAAAGTCGTTTTGTAATCGCGAGGACTTTTTTCTCTTCGTCATGTCTGTCAAAGATCCTGTTTTGGTTGCTCCCACATTGTGACCGTATTGAGCAATCGAATTTTGATTCAGACAAAATTGAAGTCTTAGATAGAGTGTTAATATGTACAGTTTTGCTTATAGCCTTCAAAATTAAAGACAAGAATGTGCACAAAACAAAACTTGCCTTTTACGTTTTTTTTTGGTATTTACATCTTTTTTTTTATTGCCCTTGTAGGCAGGCGAGCATACGGCCCACCTGATGGTGAGTGGTTACCGTCATCCGTGGACTTCAGCAATGCCAGGGGCAGAGCCAAGCCGCTGCCTACCGCTTAATACTCTCTAGAAGCCTTTTTTAAAGAAGGACAAGTCATAGCGCTCGGGAAACAGCGTGGAGGAGAGCTCATTCCATAGCCAGATGGTACGTGGCAATAAAACCTAAATAATGAATATGCACATATTTTTTAATAACTAAAGTCATAGTTTAGTACTTTATTGTTATTAAGGAATTAATTGCCTACGTGTGTCAAAACTGTCTT